CGGCCCCTCCTCCTCCTTCTCCCAGCCCCACCCTCCGGCGCCTGCTGTCTCCCCCCACCCCCTACCCGGGGGCCTAGGGACCTCCCAGGTCTCAAACCCACCCGGTGACAACTCAGGGGCGCCGCACGGGGCCTCTCAGGCCGGCGAGGTTTCTGGGCGTCCCCTCACTTTAAGGGCCTACCCCTGTCTCCCCCAAGACCCTGGGCCACTCCTCCGCTCTCTCTCCATCTCACTTGCCTATCATTCCAGGGCCTCTCTTGTTAGGGTCCCCTCTCTTAACTTCGCTGAGACCCTGAAATACTCCAGTCTCCAGGAAGCAGTCAGGAATCCCCAAATATTTGGAATCTTCACTAGCCCTCCACCTAGTAAACCATTCCACCCTTCTCATTGCCAGGAACCTCTCCTTCACCAGTAAGTCATGCCTGCTCACCGGAACACTGGCTTCTCCAGGACCAAGGGGTGTCAATGATGGATTTTTCCTGAGTCCTTACAAAGCCAGAATCTCCTTTTCCCTTCGGACTCAAAGCTCCAATCTGCCTCTTCCTGTCCCCATTGCCCCCTGCGTGCCCTCCCGTGTCCTCAGAGGCCCACCATAGCCCACTGGCCTTCCACCACACCATCTGCTGCAGGGCAGGAGCCTAGAACAGCCTCTTCTCTCTTTTGTCTTCCCACACAGCACAGGATAGCACCTGATAAAGGCTCGTGGACTGGCTATGCAGAACATTCTCCCAGCAATTGAAGCCCATTGTAGCCCCCTCGGGTTCCACCCCACTCCCAAGCTTCCAACCTAGAAGGCTCACCCCAAATAGCCCATCTCTGGATTGCTGATCTGATCCTGAGGAACAGCTTGTGAGGGATGACATCATGGTTGCTGGGAGGTACTGCTATGGGACCTTGGGGAGTTTTTCTCAATTGTCATAAACCCATTCTCCTCCCCCTGCCAAGAGCCACAGTTTGTCTCCCCCGCTTCAAGCCACTTCAGAAATCGCGGAGCCAAGAAGCTGAGGGAGTGGCTGAGTAGAGGGAGGAGAGGGGTGGGAGTGCAAGGAGAGAGGAGGGGGCGTAGTTTCTCTGAGATGAAGGCGACACCTAGTGGTTTTGGGGGAAATTTTAAGGACAATGCCATTTTATTCTTAGGTACGGTATTTATTGAACAAGGGCATCTTTGCACAAGCATTAGGAGTGAATGCAAAAAAAGCTGAATAATGTAGCCCTTACCTTTGAGGAGCATATAATTGGAATCCATGGGGGTGCTGAGACCAAAGGCAAGCCCTCCAATAACAATTCTTGTCCCAAGCCCCACGGAAATGGAAGTAAGACAGTTTTGGGGTTTTTTTTTTTAATCACAGAGGGATGGTAACTCCAGTCCCAGCTTCCAACACTGGTGGTGAAAAGGAATTTCGTTTTATCTGAGCAAGGAAAATAAGGATATAATAGTCAAAAGGGTGATGGAAAACCTGAGAAAAGACATGGCTCTAACTTTAGACCGAGCCAGCAAATACTTTTCAAGCAACTACATACAGCTTAATGAGAGAAGCAAATCCAAATCGATGCAATCTCTGCCAGAATAACAGCATGTCAGGGCTAGGAGGAGTCTTATAAACATATTGTTCAATCCCCTCATTTAAAGATAATTGAAGCTGAGTCCTAGAGGGGGAAGTCACATAGCTTCGTCAGCTGACCCTCTCCCCCAACCCTACTTGGCTATTAATAGTAGAGCAGAGACTTGAATCAGGTTTCCTGGTCTCTAAGGTGGGGCTTTGTGCATCTATTCTGCTGACTCATGGAACTCACCATATGAAGCCATGCTTACAGGGTAATGGCCACCAAAGACCCAGAGAGGTTTCCCTGGACACCTGCAGACCCAAGTGAGGACCAGTCAGCACAGTTGTCCAGACTCCCAAACAAGTTCAAGTGAAAGGTATGTCATTTCAAGCATCTTTCCCCTTCTCTTTCTCTCTTCCAACTGGCCACTAATACCAGAAAGTGGGAAAGGGCACAGAAATAAAAGTTAATCGCTACATGTGCCAAAGGCAGTGAAAGGCTTTTGTTTTGTGGTTTGTTTGTTTTTTCATTTTGGGGTGGTGGTGAAAATTTTAGATGAATAAGGACTTTGGTTATCTATATATTCCAATTATCCAAGAGATCACTGCTGTCACTGATGTGGACGATAATATTTGGGCTGTATTTGGTGACTCCACTGCAACTCTTCCAAAGCCTGGGAAATCTAAAGATCCTGCTGGCCTGAGCAATACCAAGCTAAGATTCGCCTTTCTCTCCATAGGGTTGGTAATGCCTCCTTCACAGACCCTATCTATAATTTCTTCCGGGACAGGGCCAGCCCATACACTTTATTTCTGATCCAGAACTAAACTGCGGAACATCAGATCAGCTAGATGCTAGAAGCTGCTGTGGTTTCCAAGCTGCCTCGTTCATTATTGGAAAGAAATCCCGACCCCAGTCACACACAGGCCAAAGGAGCCTCAAGACCCTTGCTGAGTTCTGGCACCGCCATGGGATTCTCACTCAAGCTAATCTCCATGGCAAGCCTTGATGCCCCAAACAGACTCCCAGTTCAGCACTGAGCAGTTTTATGACTTACCTGATTTCGCAGCTAACTCTGAACCCTCAGGTTTGCTCTACACCAGACCATGCCTCCGGGGCTATAAGACACTGGAGAAACAAAACACCTTCCAGTCTTCTCTCTGCTTGACTAATCTGACAAGCAAGGCCCTGATTATATGTGATTGTCACCTGCGCACAAGACACACAGGTCCAAGAGAACCTGTCAACAGAAGGCAGAGAACAGCCGTGGAAAGTAAGATAAAATAAGGCAGGAGCAGTACATTTCAAATGCAGCATTTCAATAAGGGAGGGGAGGAGGCAGTATAAAGAGAGAAACAGTGAACCATATTGAAGGCAAAGAAAGACTTTACTAAAATTCTGCATTATTTATTTTAGCCCCAGTGAGGGAGAGATAGAATCCTGAAAACAGGTCAAAGCCCCATTATTGCTCATGTGGCCCACTTCCCCCCATACAGCAGCACACAGTATGGTTCTAGACCTTAGGTCCAGGTCACCTTCTCATAATATTCAATATCCTTTAAGAGCTGCTATTATTGTTTAAAGGGTCAAAGGTTTTTACTTTGAATTCATACATCGCTTTCTTTAATGAATTAAAAATTGTTTAATTTAAAATATTTTCAAATCAGCTCTCAGCTTCTAACTTACCTGTCTAGATAAGTTGAACTGGTACCATACTCGGAGGGCTGGAAATATCAGTTTTGTGAAAAGATAATCATCCAAAAGAGTAGTTTTTCCCCATGAAAAATCCTTCATAGAGAACCAGTGATTCCTAAGAAGGAATTTAAGAATTATCAGGACTTATGTTCAAGATGACTCAAGTTCTATCTAGGTGAACCCATTTTTCACCTGTCTGCTCCATCCAAGCCTGGACCAGCACTTCTGTGAATGCCCTGGAAGGTCCCAGTGGCTTCGATGGCTCTTCCACATTTGGGCTGTTTTCCCACATACATATACTGCTTCCCTGTATTCCTATTACCACCCTTCACCATAATTACCAGTAATTACTTACCACCCCTTGGAAGCATCTGATTGCATAAAGTCTCCAATATAATATTCTCTGTTATATTTCCCTCTCCATTCCACTTAAAATTCTACTTTCTTCACAAAATCTTCCACTGAAGAAAAAAGTGGCATGCGTTCCCTCACTTTTAAGTCCTGCTCAATTTACAAATATCTCACATAAAAAGAAGCAAAGGGAACATAATTACAACGGTTTCTAGAGAACTGAAATGTATTCATCACTATTTCAATCCTCTGCTCTGCTCAGAATTTTCTAGAGAAGCCAAAGACTGGAAGAGGAGGAGAAATCTGAAGCAAGACTTTACCAAGCTGTCCTCTTTTTCATGGCTGCAGTATGTCATGAACAACAGAGTAGTTAGCCATGGCATTCAACATAAGGCTGGTTGGCAGACAGATGGAAAGCAGGAAGACCAGTTAAGAGGCTCCTGGAGAAATCCAAGCATGAAATGCTAAGTGTCTGGTCTAGGATGATTGAATAGTAATGGAAGGAGGGAAACAAATGTGAGATGATTTGAAGGAAGAAACAACAGGACTTGCTGGCAGGTTGAACCTACAGGATAAAGAGGAGTCAAAGATTACTCTAAGGCAGGAGTCACAGAGGCAAAAGCCAGGCAGATAATGTAAATGTGAGAAGCAGCTGGATGCAGCCCCTGCTCCATCTGAAGTGGATGCCGCCACTCTGGGTTGGAGCCCAGAGTTGCCAGTTCCAACATTTTTTTCCTTTGGACTGTTTCAACAGCCTCTGTGACAAGTCTCTGGGCCTGCAGTCTCACCTCCCTCCAATCCATCCTCTACAATGTGTTCAGATGCCAAAGTGGCCTTTTGAAATGAAAACCTAATTATGTCACTTCCCTGCTTAAAATCCTTAAATGGTTCCCCATGGAAGCTGTGTTTTTCAAGTTGTTATTTTTAGCAGCCAAACCCTTTCTCCAAACAAAAGTTTAAGCATAAAACAGAAAGAAGCCCAGCGGTGGCAGATGAGGTAGCAGTGGTGGGCCCAGAAACAGGCGTCCCCCTGCCCTTAGCACCTTCTGAGCCCCTCTGGGTGGTACCCCTCAAACAGAGGGAGCCCAGAAAGATTTTCCAAGGGGTATGTATGTACAGGTGGTTTCAAGAGAATCCCTTTCCAGATCCTCACCTTCCATAGGTACTCTTCCCTAAAACTAATTTGCCTAAGCATGAGCCTGTGCTCACACAGTCCCTCTCCCACTTTACAAAAGAACAGCATGTCTCTCATCCATGCTAAATCTTACTATGATAAACTGTTCAAGAGTGTAAAGACTGCTGGGACCCCAACCAAAGGGGTATATAAACGAAGATAATCGTCTAGGGAAGCTTAAAGATTAATCAAAGTGCCTAAACTAATGGGGCTTCCTACCTTTCCCCACCATATATATACTTCTGTTATGTGTAAAACTTGGCATTGGACATGGGGGATCCTCTACCATCAGCACAGCCAAAGGAGACTACATTAGTGACATATTTCCCTTTAATAGTAATTGGAATACACAAAAATAGTTGACTTGTACTCTATATAAATTACACTTCGATAACCTGACTTAAACAAACAGAAAATTGTAACTGGAAAGTTTTGTAGGCCACAAAAAAATTCAAATACACAGAATAAAACCCATGGATAAAAAAATCAAGCAACCTATTTTGTATTTGGCATGCTTTATTCAATAAGATTTTAGTCTACTTTATCAAATCATCATGAAATATTTATTATGATTACAGTCAATCCTCAGCTTATTTCAACTTATAAAATGATTAATATTTTCTATCTCTTATTAACAGTACATAAATTTAAACTTGTGATAAATGTTAAATTTCAACTTAAAAGTGTATGAGGGGGTTATTATTCCTTCAGGGAGCGCAGAGCAAAAATTTTGAGCTCTGCAACTCAAAATAACACTTTGAAGATCAATGGCTACAGAGTGAGTAACTTTTTTTTTTAAAAGATTTTATTGGGGAATTGGGGAAGTGGAACAGCGTTGGGGAATCGGGAAAGGGGAACAGACAAGTTGCTGTCTTTTTGTTCTTCAATCTAGTTGTGGAGGACGTCGCTTCACTGGCCCATGTTGGTATTATTATTGTGCTCTTCCTGGGTGACACAGATCGGTCGCTGGCCATTGTACAGCCTCTCACGGCGGTTCATGACAGCTCACGCCTGCTGCCAGTCGCTCACGCTTGGCTGCCAGCCACTCACAGTAGCTCATGGCAGCCCACTGCAGCAGGGACTGCAGCCTATGCCATCTCTGGCGACTCACGGCAGCCCAGTTCCAGGTCGAGCTGTTGTTCACTATCTTGGCTGTAAAGGGTGCAGCGTCACTGGCCCTCATGTGGGATCCAAACTGGGGCCCTGCTGCTCAGAGCTGGTGTCCCAAGCCAACTCCTAACCAACGCTTCACTCGGCCAGCCCCAGAGTGAGTGACGCTTGATCCTATCAGACCTAAGTCTCCCTTCTTCTAATAAATATTTTAAATAATAGCACCTTTTCTAACTTAAAGTGAAATTCATAGATAATACAACCTACCTATACACATAATTTCAAAACAACAAAAGTGTTCTAGCTGTTACATAAAAGAGAAATAAAAGACAATAGTTTATAATAATATTTCAATACATAAATGGTTGGACATGACTATGATAGAAGACTTGAGAAAGCACTCAAATGCTTGCACCTAACTATAAGAAATGAGTTAGTTAGGGTTTAAGAGAAGATCAGAAGCCATTACATAAAAAATAAAAATAAAAAAAAACACAAAAAACTAAATTAAACACTAGTGTTAGGATAAGTAATAATAAACCAGATTTATTTATATATGACACCCTACACAAATGTTTGGTGGAACATTCAAAAACCATGCAGAACTCAGGATCTCTAAATCATACAGAATTCAGGACACTTATTTGACATCCCAAATGTACTGCCAGTGTTGAAGTACAAAGATTAACAAGATAAATTTTTTTCTCTTGTGGAATACATGAACTAGTGGGATAGGTAGAAAATAAAATACCTACTTTAAAACAATATGTTCTTGATTATATATATGGAACTGTCCTCACATTGCAGTCTAGCACCTATAATTCTCAACTACTAAGATGCCAGTAAATCCCACCTCCCATTGCTATAGCAATAAAAAATGCCCCATCAATGTCCAAAATGCCCCACCAGAGGCAGTACCACTGTTGTTAAGAACCACTGGCCTACAAGATAGAGAACAAGCATGTTAGCCCATTAGAATCTGGCTCCGGCCTTCCTCTCCAGCCTCCTCTGCTGCTATGTCTGCCTTCTAAACATACAGAGCTATACGTAGCTCCCGAAGTGGGCCACATTAGTCCATCAGCCTAAAATATCATCTCTTCCTTTGCCTTCTGACTAACTACTCTTCTTTGAGGCCTTCCCCCCACTTTTTATAACCCTTAATACATTGTTTTTAAAGTAAGTACTTTCTACCTACCCCACTCTAGATTGTTCATCCCACGAAGGAAAGAATTCTATCATGTTTAATCTTTGTACCTCAACACTGGCAATACATTTTAGATGTCAAATAAATGTTTTCTCAGTAAATAAACAAGAGTACAGATAAATGATTCACTTTACAGGAAAAGACATATTTCCTCCTAGACTGCAGGGAAAGATGAGACAATGGGTTCAAGGATGGATTTAGTGATAGATAAATTTAACTTACCTGTTGAGCATTGAACTCAGTTGGGTATAAACATAACCTCCCACCCTATCACAGTCTCGTTCATCTGTGCCATGACAAAATGTCTCCTTCCCACTTTTCACAACAGCACTGACAGATTCTTTAACTCTCTGTTCCCTTTCGATTACGTGAAAACTCAGTCCAATCCAATTGATTTAAAACTCCAGTCTCAGGGCCAATGCAGAATTCAGCTCCTCCCTTCTTTCAGCCCAAGCTTGAGCCATGGCTTGAGGAATGTGAAGTGGGGAGAATGTGGTCCCTTCATGGCTTCTCCTCCTCCTTTTCTAGTTCTCTAGAAGGTTCTCTACAAGGGTTCTAGCTACTCAGAGGTAGGGAATCAGGAGGAGAGCAGAGAGGAAAGAGATAACTGTCTCTTCATTTAACAGGGTAGTTATCACAAACCATTGCTGGCTGTGGATGACAGGCCATTTCAGCCTGTTGTCAGGCAGACATCAAAATGCCAGATCTCTTATGGGGCACTTATGTGAGTTCTTTAGAAAGTTCCGTGAGGCCTCCCCACTGAGTTGTGCCCTAACGTAGACAACCCCGCTCCAACTCATCTCCTTTAACCCTCCTACTTCTCTTTCTGTCCAGCAGGCAACCTCTTGGATAGGCTGCCAGCAAGATGGCTCAAGCCCAGCTATCTTTCTCAGTGTCCCTTTGACCACAAGGAACTCATGTGTCTTTGCTAAGCCAAACAGAAGGAATACAGGTTATTCCACCGCCACCCCCACCCCCATCTTTCCACCTCTCTCTAATCACCTTTCCTCTTCTCAGATAAATGCAGAGCTGACCAAGTCCACTGATCAAACATATCTTCTACCCAGAGAATGATAAATCAGTCTATCCTTCATGTAGGCTCTCTTTGATACCCTCTTACTTGTTTGGTTTTTTTCTGGGGGCGGGGGCGATGAGGGGGAAATATTCCCTGCTGGGCTCATGACTTCCTCCCTTGAGTCATCTCATACCCTACATAGACTGAGAATAAGATAGGGTGATGAGGGGCCGGCCAAGTGACGCGATGGTTAAGAACTGGCATGGGATGCCAGAGTGCCCCGGTTTGGATCTCTCATATGAGGGCCAGTGACACTGCCCTCCACAGCTAAGATGCTGTACAACAGCTCAACCTGGAGCTGGGCTGCTGTGAGTCACCGGCGACGGTGTAGGCTGCAGCCCCTGTGGCAGTGGGTTGCCATGGGCTACCGTGTGTGGCCAGCAGGAGTGGCCGTCCAGAAGCCGGCGACTGATGTGCCTCGCCCGGGAAGAGCGCAATGATGGTGCCAGCTTGGGCCAGTGAAGCAACGTCCTCCACAACTAGACTGAAGAACAAAACAATAGCAACTTGTCTGTTCCCCTTTCCCCAATTCCCCAGCACTGTTCCCATCCCCCCAATTCCCCAATTTAAAAAAATCTTTAAAAAAAAGAAAAGATGGGGTGATGAGGAATGGGGAGGTTTAGTGGTTGGAGGTACCAGGGTCACTTATGCTACCTCTCTGTAAGCCCTGGAGAGAGTACCTGACCCTAATTATTATTAGCAACTCTCTCTAGAATGTTTGGTACTTACTACTTCTTTGTCCTCATCTTTGGACCCTAGTCACCAATTCCAGGGAAATAGGAAAAATCCAACTCAATATCTTCCACTATATGATGAAGAGAAGGAAAGGTTATATGAAATAAGGAGCTCAATTGCATTCCTATATGAAGAAGCAAGGTCATCTTGTCAGTGAGAGAAAAAACCAGGAGTTGGAGATTCAGGCAATATAAAGAAAGAAGACAGAGATAGACTGGAGATAGAACATCGAACGAAAGCCATAGACACTTTCTCCCCAATTAAAAAAGAAAGGCACATATGCATATTATATAAAAATTTTTGCATATCAATTCAGGGCTGATTATTAAAATACATACATACATATTAGAATGAGAACTGGGTTCTAAAAACAACAAATATGATATATATGACTGCAAAAACTCCATGTCAATAGATGAATTAGTCATTGTCCTCAAACACCTTCTAGGTCCCTAAGAGAAAAAAATGGAGGGGTAACGTGATGCCAGCCTCTCCCACTAAATGACAGCTGAGAATATCTCCCACCAACTGTTGAGAGTAATTGGTCTAACAAAAAAGGCAGAGAAGTTTGCCCATCATCTGCAGTTCGAGAAAACGAGAAAAGAACCCTGGTTTTTTTCACATCTAAGCATTGCACTAACCCGACCGAGGTCAAATAAACAGATTCCAAGGTCCCCAGGTTAAAGCCTACTTACAATGAAAATAAATGTAAAGGTATTTTGCAAATTGTAAAGCATCATATATGTGTGCATTATTATGGTAATCATTAGGAATATTTCCTACTCAAAAGTGAACCAGGCCACACCATCAGCAGTTTAAGGTCATATTCTGGAAAGGTGGAATGTGCTAAAAGAATGAGTTTGCTTATTTTTATACCATTGTACAAAAGTTTTCAAAGTTTTCATCTCTTCATTGAAAAGTCTAAGAAGAGGAGCCAGTCAGTGACACATGAGCAAAAGAGAGTTTAGAAACTCTGAAATTCAGTTAAGTATAACAAATATTTATTGAGGGGCCTTCAGAGGATACAAAGATAAGCCCTGCCCACCCTTGAGAAGTATACCAGCCAGGAAGAGACAAAAGCCAGTTTATGTGGCAGAGTGATACCATGATTATGGATGTCGTGATTATGGATGTGCTCCTTTCCACTCCCACTGGCTGGCCCTACCCACACCTGTCAGTCCTTGACCCATTTCTTATCAGATCCACTCCTCACCCTCTCCAGTGAGGCTGACGCTCACAGACCAAGTCCTCAGCTCCTGATCTCTGCTGCAGTCAGTCAGTGAGAGGCACTGGCAGAAGACTGCAAGTCGGAAGAACACCAGAAGACAGAGTATTTCTTCCCCTTCTCCCTCTGCTTTGACCAACATCTCCGACAGAAGCTGTGTGTCCCCTGTGGTTCCAGCTTCCCTAAGGTAGGCCCTCCAAAATTCCAGCTTTTAACTTATCCTGGCTCCTGGGCTTCCTCTGTTCGTTCCTTCAGCCTAGGAGGGATAGAGAATTCCTGCTGTTGCTAATTTCTGGATGGCCTCACATTCCCTTGAATGGCTTCCCAGCATATCTTTCACTTTCATAGTTCATTCTCTGGATAAAATTCCACCTGGTTTAAATACTTAGAGTGATTTCTGTTTTCCTGGCTGGATTCTAAATGTGGTAGCTAAACCAAAATGAATTTATCTCTATTGAGAGCAAAGACCCTGATTCCAAAATTGCTAAATTCAAAGTTCACTGCTGTGTTGAGTCCAGACTAAGTTATACAGAGAAGTGAAGACACAGAACTGATTTTCCTCTTCTCCCAAAAGGACACAGGAGAGAAAAAGAATTTTGGGAAAGGAGCGTTATGGACTTCCTACTTCCCTGTCCTCAGGACAATATAGAGAAGAGGGCACTGACAAGGACAAGGACATGGACGTGATTGAATCCCCCTTAAAATTTAGGATGAATCCAAGATGAGAATGGACCTGCACAGGGCCTTTAGAAACCCCAAATGCTGAAAGATTATAGTACTCCATCCCCTCCCCCAATAAAATCAATCATTTACACTTACAACAGATTCTTAAATTCACATGGGCCCAGAGGGAGCTGGAGACTTTAGAAGGTGAGCTGGTGTGCCAACCCTAAGAGGCCTCTCTGGAAGACCAAGAGGATGCACAGGGTTCACCGGCCGCTGGTGAGATGTGCAGTAGATGCGTCTCCAAGGGGTCATCCATATGTGGGAAAAGTTCATGCACCATCCAGCAAAACCACCACTGGCCATCATCTTTTAGCTAACTGTGGGGAAAGGGAGAGCATGACAAGCTGTTGCAGGGAGAAGAAATGACCAAGATGAGACCAATAGCAAGGATGCAAGCCTCTTCTAAAATTGCCTGGCTGTGTACAAATTATGAAGGATAGAGCCAAACAGGTAGGGAACAGGCAGAAAGCCCAGAGATAGAGCTTTGAATTGGACTGGGAGTTATGACTCAGTTTATTCTCTTCCTCCCTCTCTTCCTCTCTCCTTCTCTCCCTTCCTCCCTCTCTTCCTCCCTCCCTCTTCCTCACTGGATTGAACTAAATATACCTGAAAGGTACACTATGGGGGGAAAATGTCAGTTCTAAGGAATAGTTAGTCAAATATATGGTGATGTAAGATTTCACTCTGGGTGGTGCACACACAATGCAAAATACAGATGATGTATCATAGAATTGTACACTTGAAACCTATATAATTTTATTAACCAATGTCACCCCAATAAATTCAATAAAATTTTTAAAGTTAAAATCTCTGCACTTCAAGTCTGACTGTGCAACTTGTACCAATGACATATTTGTCCTCATCTATGGTTTTAGCTAGCGCCAAAAGTTAATGATGCCTAGATTTCTGTCTCCAGCTTTACTTCTTCATATGATTCCTGCTGCCATAAATACCCTCCCCACTCCCATCCCCTATTCTGCATATTCAAATCCTAACCATTCTTCGAGGTCTGGTTCAATGCTGCCTTCTCTTAGAGAATTATCTTTCACCTGAACCCTCACAGTGTTTTATCTGTATCTCTTCAGTGGAGGCTTTCGCTTTCTGCCTGCATTAGAGTAATATGGGTGCGTCTCATCCCACCTGCCAGGCAGTAAGCTACTTGGAAACAGAAGACATGTTTTATTCATCTTTGGATCCCCTCAGCACCTACAGTATTTGTTGACCAAAAGAACACTATCCTGCGGCGTCTAGATGACTACTCCCAAGATGATGCCAAATTCCACTTTTGATGCTGCCTTCAATCAGTCTGAGAGTCACACCGGAAAATCAGCCTCACCAATTACAAATGCTAATATTTATTTTGTGCCTATGCCAACCACTGTGCATGAGTTTTGCGTCTAGTGTCTTATTTAATCTGCCTAACAACCCTCTAAGATAGGTACTATTATAGTCCCCATTTGGTAAAGACACTGAGACCTAGAGACATTAATCAACTGCCCAAAACCACCCAGTTAGTGACAGAACTCGGATGTGACCACTTCAGAGTCACATCTACATTCAGTCAAAAACAGTATTACCCAGATTGATCATTTACTTCACTAAACCAATTTAGAATAATTTTTAGCTGTTTTGATCAAATTTATTTTCAAAAAATAAGAAATATATATGTATATATATATATATATATATATATATATAAATTTTAAAGTGGTTGTAAAATTTAAATGAAGGGCTATTTTTTCTAAGAGAAAAAATTTTTTTTTTAGAAATAATACCTAAGTGTGCAGGAAAATGGTATTCTCATACACTGCTAGTGGGAGTACAATCTGGTATAACTTTAGAAAGCAACTTAGCAATCTCCATCAAAATCCTTTAAAATATTTTTACCATTAACCTATCAATTCCCCTTCAAGAATTTAGCTAAAGAAAATCATAGATTTAGCCTCAAAGATACTCAACACAGTATTGTTTTTAATAATGAAAAATTAGGAAAGATCTAAATTTCTAATTATAGAGTATTGTATAATTAAATTATATTACTTATGCATTAAAATCCAAACAGCCCATTAAACATTATTTCAGAGATGTATGATTGATATCAAAGATTGTTCACCATACGTCACTACGTGAAAACAGAAGGTTGAAAATGTATGGAACAAGTCCAGGTCGTTAAAAATACACACACAGATAGATAGTAGAAAGCTGGAAAGGTATAGATTAAAAATTTTTTTTTCATTTTCAGCTAATATTTTAGAGACAGATCATTCAAATTACCTAATTTGTTTCCTTGCCCCCCTTCTCTTCAAGACAAAAGCAAAATAAATAAAAATTTTGAGAATGGCTACCTTTGGCGATAGTAAGGTTAGAATGTTACATAGAATTATTTTCAATGATTATGTATTACTTTTGTAATAAGAAAAATTAAATGAGGGTGTTTTCTTTTTAAAAAGGTATCACAGGGATGCATGGATACCAAGTTGTTGTTTTTTTAATTGTCATTGAATTAAGTCTATAGTTTTCACTTAACAAATATACCAGTAAACATTTATGTAGTTTTTATGTGTAAATTACTAGTATATTTGTTTATAAAATATTAAACACTTTATGCCTCTTTTATATAGCCCTACCACAGTTAGTATGCAGCTCAATAAATAGTTGCTGAATAGAATTGAAGAATCTAGTGTAAAATTTTTATAAATGACCTAGATGAGGAAGAACACAGTGAAGTTCCTAGTTTACAGACAACAGTAAGTTCCTTTATTATACTGCAATCACATTTGACACTGGTGACCATCACCTTCTTAAAACTCTTACCATGGCTTCTACCACAACTCATCTCCTAGTCAGCCTTCCATCTCAACGTCCACTGACCTCTCACTCCAGCAAAGGTCCTCTTCCTCCTCTGAACTGTAAGCTTCTCCCTCCATGCTGCAGTCCTCAGCTTTCTGCATTCTTCTTTCCATACTCATTTCCTTGGTGAGTTCATCCACAATCATGGCACCACCTATCACCTCAATGGAGATAATTTCAGTAACATGACCTTATTTCACTGGGTGTGGGCATGTGTGCTGTCATTGCTACATATAGAAGGTATTTTTATATTGCACAACATAATGATTAGAATCTTATAGTATAGCTCACCCAAGGAAAAGACTGCTTGGAGGATTTGAGAAAGAGTTGTGGGCATCAATGGCAATAAACTCCTTCCGCACCCCCCCATAAAGTAAACAAAATAAAAATACATAAATAGAAAAAAGTCAGCAAAGGATGTGTTTAAAATCTCAGGTTAATAGTGTCATACCTTGCTTGGGGAAGGAAGAAACCAAGTAAATGAAATAATTAGCCAACAGAAGATATTTTTAAAGGCTCTAGATTCTACATTTATAAAACTCAGTTATATGAACAAAGTACATGTTTTTATTAATCATATCTTTGTTTTTTAGTTTTCTAGTGGTCAGTTCAAGTCAGCGGATCACATTACTCTGTGCACTCAGCTTCAAGACAAATCTTCTGCCTCCCTCCCCTTTCAGAGTTCTGCTCTTAAACTTCTCCTGTATAGGAACTGCAAGCCACCACTGGGCTTGCAAATTTATTATTTATACTCAAGGTATGCTAATCATAGATCCTGAAATTAGCTAAGGGCTACAAGGCATCCCTCACACCCAATACATAGAACATAAAGGTTACAGACTTTTGGAATAGGAAGACAGCAATTTGGGGCTAATTTTTTACTAATCCTGGCAGCAAAGAAAGCATATGGTAGAAAGCTCCACAGACTATTACTGAAAAAGTACAGGATGAGGAGAGAAACAAGGTGGGTGCCGATGAAAACAGCAGACCACAAGGATCTGTCTTCACAGGTTTGACAGGGCCAGGTGTAATGGATGTTTCAAACACATGGTTCTTCCTTGGCAATGGGTACAGCCAGTGCTGGGACACTGGTGGTGCTGAGGCAGGTACACATGGGTATGCAGTGCCCCTGCAGCTGAGTGAACTGAGCTACCTGCTTAGTAGGCCACATGCTCTGGCATCAATCCTGACTTACCTCAGATGGGCCCAATCAGCCCGTCTTGGAAATGGGTACAGGCCTGCATCATTCCACATTCAGTTCTGCCTTACCTCATCAAAGGTAATGGATGAGCTAGCTGACTGGTACCCTTTACTCACATGAAGGTCTTGTACATCTTCTCAGTTGCTCATACCACATCTTTCAGAAGTTCCCAAACCAGTTTAACATAGTCTGATCTGATCATTTAAACAGTCTTTAAGGCACTGCTCAGACTCTCCTGAATAAAAATTGGTCTCTCAGATAGCCACCTCTCCCCTGACAGGCATCTGGATGTATGAGGGAAAGGGGACTTTAGAGCAGCAGGAAAGAGTTGAATTCCTTGAGTAAGTGGTCCTCTGGCTTCCTAGATTTCCAGGGCTTATTGTTTCTTTGCCCCTGTTTGATGCTTACTCTGCTGGCAATGGTGGCCCAACTCTGCAGCTGATATAACTCTCGGGTCTCTGTCAGCCTAGAAATAGCCTGAGTGCTGCCCTCTGGCAGAATGCATTGCACTGCCTTCCCCTGGCATTATTTTTCTGAGTCTGGTTGTGATGCCTATCACAGCCCTCAGATGCCTGCATATTCAGCACAGATGCAACAGAAACCCTTCATAGTCTCTGCACCAAGGGCTTCCCTATTGCACATGCAAAAATTCCCACATCTTGACCTCCAGGGTTAGACATTTTCAAGATGCCTCATTGATGCCTTTTTCAACATATCTCTCCATTTAATGTCTACATCTCTTTTATTATTATCTAGTTCATTTTACCAGATTGTGTCCAGGCTCAGCAAGAATTAGTGCCATGGAGGATTAATGATTTCTGCTGTGGATAAATGATAGGGGAATCACACCATGAATGATCTTCACTCAAATCTTCCTCAAATCCATTAATCCAAATTAATCTCCCCTCTTCGTTTGTATCTACTGAAATCCTACTCATCTTTTAGAACTAGTTCAAGTTTTATTTCTTCTATGAAGGTCAACCTAATCTATAATGATCTTATCCTGCTCTGAATTAACACCACTTATCTGGTTATTTAATATTAGTACTATTTTATAAGTGTTAATAGTAAATAGTACTTACTACTGATACTTGAAGTAGCTTGAAGAATGGTGGTATCATTAACACAAATAAAGTATGACTTGTTTTAAGGGACATATGAATGGTTAGTTATAGAAGATATCTGGTGCTCTGACCATCAGGAAAGAGACCTAGGCGTTCTCTGAAGTTACTATCAGTGAACTCTTTTGGCAAAAAGATATCAAAAATAGGGCTGGAGACAAAAACAAACAGCTTTGCTTAAACCAGAGAAGAGAGCATTAAGTCTCGTCACTATACCTCAATAGTAACAGGGTCGAGGTCACTTACTATGGTTTTCCATCCCATACTGTGATACCATGCTCCGTATTGCATTATAGCTGGCTGTATGCAGCCTAAGATTCCCTTTTCTGTACAGGTCAGTGACCCTTTGGGGAAAAAAGGTTCTTCCTGCTCTATCATACAAAAAGATTAAGAAGATTGTCAAGGATGTGAAATACTTCCTTCAATGGAGGAATCACAGATAGAGGCAATAACATTTTCTTCACGCTGCCATGTATACAATGGGTTGTTCACTAAAACACAACCTCTCCCGTTAAAATGTGAAGTCCATGGAGCAAGGACATTGTCTAGTATGTTCATCACTGTATCTTCAATGTCTGACTCACAGTAAGTGACTGATATATATTTTACTAATGAATAGTTAATTCTTACTAAATATTAAATGAAGACAAGACAAAGAAACTTTTAATACTCCTACAATATGTCTGTTTTTGAGAGAGGTAATCATCTTCATTTCAGATTCTTTTTTTCCTGCTGCATCTGTTGTGCAGTGAGGACAAAGTTAAAGAAGTGATTAAATGGGTCATAAACATAAAAAGATCTAAACATAAAAGCTAAAACTATAAAACTTCTAGATACAGAAGAAAACAAAGAGAAAATCTTTGTGACTTTGGTGTAAGCAAAGATTTCTTACATAGGGCACAAAAAGCACCAATCACACAAGAAAAAGAGAAGAAATTAGATTTCACCAAAATTTGAAATTTCTGCTCTTGAAAAGGTACCATAAAGAAAATAAAAAGACTAAGCAATAGACTGGGGGAGGGGGGGATTATTTTAAATTAGTATATTCACAAAGAACTTGTTTCCAGAATATATAAAGAGCCCTTACAACACCAAAACAAGAAGCCAAACATTCCTTTTTTTTTTTTTTAAGATTTCTTTGGGGAATTGGGGGAGGGTAACAGCATTGGGGAGTCAGGGAAGGGGAACAGACAAGTTGCTGTCCTTTTGTTCTTCAGTCTAGTTGTGGAGGGCGTTGCTTCACTGGCCCATGTTGGTATTATCATTGGGTTCTTCCCAGGAGAGGCAGTCGCTCGCCGGCCATTGGACGACCACTCAGGGCGGCTCACAGCAGCTCATGAAAGCTCACACCAGCTGCCGGCCAGCCCCACTGCAGCCTACGCTGTCACCGGCAACTCACAGCACCCCAGCTCCAGGTAGAGCTGTTGCTCAACATCTTAGCTGTAGAGGGTACAGCGCCACTGGCCCTCATGTGGGATCCGAACCGGGGTCCTGCTGCTCAGAGCTGGCATCCCACACCAACTCCTAACCAACGTGCCACTCGGCCAGCCCCAAACATTCCAATTTTTATTTTTAAAAGATTTTTATTGGGGAATTGGGGGGATGGGAACAGTGCTGGGGAATTGGGGGAAGGGGAACAGACAAGTTGCTGTCTTTTTGNCTTAGAGTCCTCCAATGAGAGGCACTGGTTTTGAGACTTGCGAGGCGGCGGAGGAGAAGCCATTCTTCTCCAGCTGCAGTTATGGGCACGTTCATGAGCATCTGCAGATGGCTGACATCTGGGCAGACATGCCGAGGTTTCCAGGCATCCTCCTGAGAATTGCCTACGTGGGTGCTGCAGAGGGATGGGATCCTCACTATGGTTTCTTCAGTCTATTGAAATCCAACAGTGGCTTCTGTGACCTTTGCTCCCCAGAACCTTCCAGAGACTGTGTAATCCTCTAATTGTCTGCCTTAAATCCATTTGCTTGACTTGCTTAAGAGAGTTTTCTGCTTTTCTGATGTAATCTTGGCTAATACATCCCCCCAATTCTTCATTTAAGCTGGATTACGAGTTTTTCCATGATCACACCAGTATTGGTAAGGCTTACATCTGTCAGTATTCTTAGTTGCAAGCAATGTAAAGAAAATGTAGCTAATTTAAAAAGAAAAGATATCGATTGGAAGGATTTTAGATAGCTTGTGGAATTGCTGGGAAGGGTGGAGAACCAGGCTCTGAGAATGAATCTAGGCAATAGGGACACAGATGAAATCAGGCGACAGAATCAGAGGCAGGTAAGCCTAGCTGATGAATATAAGCCAGGGGTCGGCAAACTGCGGCTCCCTAGCCACATGCGGCTCTTTGGGTACGTACATGTGGCCCTGAAGTAAAATTGAAAATGAAAATAAAATTATCATAGTTTCATTTATAAAGTTTTTATAGGATATTATCCACATAATGGTGATTTCATTTGTTTTATGGCTCCCTAATAATTTTTATTTATTTATTTATTTATTTATTTATTTATTTTTTAGATTTTTTTTTTATTGAGGAATTGGGGGAAGGGAAACAGACAAGTTGCTGTCATTTTGTTTTTCAGTCTAGTTGTGGAGGACGTTGCTTCACTGGCCCAAGTTGGCACCATCATTGCGTTCTTCCCAGGCGAGGCAAATCAGTCACCGGCTTCTGGACTGCTGCTCACTGCGGCTGCTGGCCGCTCACGCTGGCTGCTGGCCACACACGGTAGCCCATGGCAACCCACTGCCACAGGGACTGCAGCCTACACCGTTCTTCCCAGGCAAGGCAAATCAGTCGCCGGCTTCTGGACGGCCGCTCACTGCGGCTTGAGGGCCACTCACGCTGGCTGCTGGCTACACACGGTAGCCCATGGCAACCCACTGCAGCAGGGGCTGCAGCCAGTGGCCCTCATATGTGGGATCCAAACCGGGGCCCTCTGGTGTCCCAACCCAGTTCTTAACCAACACGCCACTCGGCCGGCCCCCAATTTTTTGAAATGGGCAAAACATTTAAATAGACTTCACCACATATGAGATATGGGTGGCAAATATGCACATGAAAAGATGCTAAATAGCATTATTCACTGGCGAAATGCAAACTAAAACCACAATGAGATACCACTATATACCTACTAGAATGATTTCTTTAAAAAACTAACCAAGTGCTGACGATGCAGCAAAGGAGCTAGAACTCTCCTACAATGCTGGTAAGCATAAAATTGTACAGCCACTTTGGAAAACAGTTTGGCAGTTTTTTTCTTTACCAAGTTAAACATTCACTTACCATAAAATGTAAGATTTCACTCCTTGGTATTTTTCCAAGAAAAATGCAAACATATATCCACAAAATGACTTTTATACTCGTGTATTGACTGGGGAGATGGTTACAGTTATAAACATCTGTCAAAACTCAATGAATTGTACATTTAAAATGGGTGCATCATTTTGTATGTATGTAAATTATATTTCAATAAAGTTGAAAAATAATTATTTTGCAACAGTTAAGGAGTTATTTTAAAGCCTTTTTTGTTATCAATAGTGGCTGGCCAATGAATCATTAGATGTGAATCAGTCCATTGGTAACGTAGGCTCATGCTTGACCATGAGTCTTCTGAAACTTACCAGGCGAATGTATTCTCTGACCAGTGGAAATGAAGTAGGCTAGAGAATTTGTTTTCCAAGTCAGAGAAGTTAGAGCATGAATTTGCACTCTCTCATGATTAGCCTAAGGTAGTTTTTAAAAAATCAGGCCTAAGCTATGATAAGAGTTGAAAAGTTTTATCAGAAAGTTAATACTTCAAAAGTGAAGAATCCCCACTGTGGGAAAACAGAACATTTCTCGTACATACTCTGACTGGGGCCTGGACCTTCCAGAGAGGGCAGAGAATCATGTGGCGTGTGTACTGGCAGAAACACACACACACACACACACACACACACACACACACACACACACACGCACACACCAAGATGGGCAGAATGCCTCCCTGGTCATACTCTACATGGCATAGGGGAAGAATAGCTCCATTATCAGAGGAGCAGGTTAGAATAGTCAGATGTTTTTATCAGGTTTTTATTTGTAACGCGACTTACAAATGCTTATTATGATCACTTTTAAAACTGTCAGGCACTGGAAAAGCTTTCTGTGTAAGCACAGGAAGGAGAAAAAGCAAAGTAAAACCTGCTCACTGCCCTCTATCTTCCCTGCCTTATACTTCTCTCCCCTGCCCCTCAACTCTTTGCCCCCTCAATCCCAAGTCAGTGTTAAAACCATACCAGAGGGCTTGGGTGGGGCCAAAGGTCAAGAAGGGCCTAGGATGGAGCTGTAGATAAGAAGCAGGGAAGGGGGGATGAATTCAATGGACATTTGCCATTTGTGGTTCTTAGCATCCATGTCCCCTTCCTAAGAGTACTCCGGTGTCCTTTCAGGCTTCTTGGAGAAGTGAAATTAAATGTTTGCCTTCTCTTGACAGAAACCAACAGCTTTCCCCCGGGCCTTCCCCCAAATCCTTTCTCCCTATATCCAGATAAGAGTCACAGATGGCATTTGACTAAGCTTGACCAAGCAAATGATCTCCTTGGACTTTACTTCTTTAGCAGAGTGATATGAGAAGCGAAGAAATGGTTTGCAGTGGAGCCAGGCAAGACAGTTGAGCAGTTCCTTCTCTGTCAGTCAGTTTCAAGCCTGGTCCCTTAGATTTCCCTTCCATCCTGTGAGGCTCTCCTCCAAGGAGAAATAAATATTTTAAGTCCCCACTCCTGCCCTATCCTTTCTCAATCCCCCTTGTCAGAGTTAACGTCTCATAGCAGTTTGGTATGTTTCCTTCAGACAAGTTCCATACATCTTATTCTTGTTTTAAAAAAATACATGTATGTGTCATATATAAATAGGGTATTACCATATTTTGCCATGTATAATGCACTCCTGTATAATGTGCACCCACGTTTTTGGCCCAAACTTTGAGGGAAGAAAATCTTTCATTTTAATTTTTTTAATTCAAATTTTTATTTGTTTATATTTAGGTACTTGTTTTTTGTATTATAAAGGAATTTTAGCATTTATTTATTTATTTTATTATTATACTTTTAACTCATAAGCATAAATAAAATTAAAAATATATAAATACAGAATTAGTACTACCCATGTAGAATGTGCATCCTTATTTTTCCCTCACAAATTTGGGCAAAAAAGTACGCATTATGCATGGCAAAATACGGTATACATATTATTATGCAACTTATTTTTATGAGATGTGATCTATTTCTTTTGTATCTTCTCATCATCCCTGATTAAAACTGTACATACAAAAATCCTGCCAAAATTTGAGTCTAGGGGTAGTGTGGGACTCGGTTAATCTCATTATTATATAGCCCATTAATTACCCATAGTAGGATGGATTTAGGCTCAAGTTCAGCTGAACAATGAAGATCCTAAAGAATGCTAACAATGTGTCAGGCTGAAAAGTTCTCATAGGCAATATGGAGAAGGTTCCTGAGCAGGGATATCCAGTCATGAAGACAATGTTTCATGAAAAATAACACGGCAACAGTGTATATGATTTAGACCAGAAGAAGGAGAGGTTGGATAAAATGGAGACTAGTGCAGCGGCAAATAGAGAAGAGTAGATCTGAAGAAATAAAATTCTGGATTACAGTTATGGCCGGTGAAATGGAGAAAAGCTTTTACTGAAGTATAAGAAGCTAGACTAATAGAGTAGAAAAAACAAATGATTGGAATTAGAAGAGCTAGATTCAAATTCCAACTCTGAAATTTATTAGCTATGTGACCTTTGGCAAGACACTTCCCTGCTCCATACATCAGTTTCCTTGTTAATAGAATGAAAAAGTTAGAATATTAGGGGCTCTAAGATTTTTTTTCAGCAGAGCCTTTTTTTTTTCTGGGGGTTGGGGGTGGGGAGGAGAAGGCAAGATGATTCTGGCTGAAGCATGGAGAAAAGGCTCAGAGCCCCAGCTAGCCTTCATTTCACCTCTGTCAGCCACCTCTGAGGCATTCTTGAGGAATCTCCAAAGGACTAGGGAACATTTGAGAAATCTCTAAAGGCTCTACTATCAACTCTAATATTCAGTGACTTGGGGGGGGGTGTTAACTTGGCAGAGGTACCTAGGAAAATAGTAATGACTTTTAATAATTGCCACAGAATTATGTAATAGAAAGGGGGAATTGACTTACGATAAATTTGCCTGCTTCTCCTTATAGGCCAAACAGAATTTAATGTCCAAAATCTCATTCAAACCTTGTACAAATAATGGTAATCTAACATTTATATAAAACAATTTAGCCACAAATAATTCACTACCTAACAATTCAGCTCATTCCAATTTGGGGTCCTCTAACCATTCAAACATTCCTCCTTTTTAAGCCAAAATTTGCCTCCCATCGCCGTCATCTGAAATAAAGTTCCATATTCCACCTTCTGGAACTAAACCAAATAAATCTAAACCCTCTTCCACAGGACAGTCGTTCAACTGTTTGTAAAGAGCTATCAAGTCTGCGTTATCACCCTCTATTCTCTCTCTGGACTGTCATGAAATGTTCCATGGAGGTGGGCTGCTCCAGTTTCGGTTCAATTCAACATTTTCTAAGCATCTAAGTGCAAGTAGATTTTCATGTACTCAAGGTTTTAAAGACTTAGTCAAACCAGATGATCTTCCTTAAAACAAATGACTAGCTTCATAATGAAGTATAAATAGAACCCCAATTCACTGTATGGTAACTATTCTTTTCTTGCTAAACATTAGCTGCTCCCAGTGTTTCAGAAATAGATTGCTAATTCTTTTGATCTAAAGCAAATTGTGAAAACATCTAGCCAGGGATCCAAAGAGATCCAAAACTCAAGATCCAATGAAGCAAGTATAAATGACTCTAAAGCTCATAATCTCATTGCCTCTCAGGAGAATATAATTCTCAGCAGTACAAAAGTCAATGATCCCAAAGGTATTATGGAATATCAATGTAAGGAAGCTTCCTTCGCCATTCTTCATCCTACCCATTCCATAGTCTACTAACATCAGGATTTGTGGCTTGGGCCTAGGTATCTGCCAGTCTGGGTAGTTTGAAGATGGGGAGTAGAAAGTATGACTGAGTCCCTGAGGAGAAAGCAAGCCGGCATAGCCACAGTCTGTAATGCCTGTGGGAGCGCTGAGCCTTTACGGTTTCCTGTGCTCCAGTTGTCCTGGTAACCTGAGGCCTCCCTATTTGTGTTGGCATCTTGGGGCCAAGAGCGGAAGCAAAGCTGGAGCACCAGGAAGACTTGCAGGAAAAAAAATGTGGGTAATGCAGCAGTTGTGCCACAGGAGGGTCAAGCCTAGGGCATAAGAATTACCTGTTTGGGGAGAGGGCAGGGGTAGTGTCTTGTAAAAATTTGATTTCCAGATTCCATTTCCAGCGTTTCTGATTCATTAGGTCTAGGATGAGCTCAAGAACATGCAATTTTAAGAGGCTACCTCCTACCAAGTAAGACAAAGACCACACTTTTGAAAACCCAGGCTAAGCAAACAAATTAGCAGTTGGGGAGAAAAAGTATAACCATCAATCAATTTCAGAAAGCCAATGTTCTAGAACAGTAATTCTCAATTTGGGATGGAGAGAGTAGGGTATGGGGGTGGGGGGGTGGGAGGAGGGAGAATTTGCCCTCCAGGGGACATCTGGCAATATCTGGAGATATTTTGGGTTGTCACAACTGAGAGGGTACTACCAGTGAGTAAAGGCCAGGGATGCTGCTAAACATCCCACAGTGCACAGGACAGCCCCCTCTACTCAAACTCAACAAAGGATTATCCAGCTCAAAATGTTAGTGTCATGGTTGAGAGACCCCTCAACCCCACCACCCCCCATCCACAGAAATCAATGCTATACAGTTTTAGGTCACAATACAGAAACATAAGTGAGATCTCCTAGGGAAAAAAAAATGAAACTTCAAAAATGATTTAAAACAAAAATAGTGACTGTTATTAAAGATATGGATAAGGAGATGAGAACAACAGATAACAAAGGGAGGCACAACAATGGGAAATGAATGCCGTTCCCTCCATGGGTGCAGCCTATTCATATGTAGGAGACTGATAAAGAGATGATATACCTATTAAAAATAACATAGAGGAAAAAAAGGAAAAACAAAATTGAAAGAATAATGGATAAAGGAACTGTGAAGAAGTAGCTTTAGGGTTTGTTCAGCATAGATCTGGAATGAAAAGACATGAATAGATTCTTCGGTAAAAGAATGTTAAATAAAGACACTTCAGCAATGATAAGAAAAGGAAATGAGAAGACTCCTAAAAGGAGGTCAGGATTATATAAGAAAGGAAAATAAAGTTATTTATAACCTTCTAGCCCTAATCAGCCCCAAGAAAGATGGGTCCAGAAAAAGTTCTTTGGTTTTACTGAGCAGAGATAATGAAAGAGAAGAGAGGTGGGAGAAACTTGAGCACACCTAAGAACTCTTCTCAAAGGGGAAGAGGGCAGAAGTGGTGCTCATAGAGGATGGAGGAGTAAGGCTCAAAGAGGAAGAGGAGAGATGTTTTTGAGAAAGAAGGGGAAAGAGAAGGAAGAAATTTGGCAGCCACTGTAAGAAGAGGGGCTTTAGGTACCCTTAGGGAAAGAGAGAAAGGTTAAATGAGGAATTTTTTTAAGTTTTGCTTTAGAGATATGGGAGATGAGATAAAGTCTTCATTTTCATTTACCTCTTCTGCAAAACCTTCAATAAAAACTGACAGTACTCATCGGGACTTCGGGGTTTGGGTTTATGTTTTTTCACAGTTGCGACATGGAAGACGGGCCTCCAAACAGGCCGAGAGCCTAGTTACGCCTGCTTTTACTGTGTTTGAAGCGACTGTAACATTTCTGGGGCAGTCAAAAGACAACCGTGTGACAGGTACTAACTCCCAGAGTGTATGGCTAACACAAGAGATACCTCATCTGGCTATTTAAGTTTAAATTAATTAAAATTAAAGAAAATTAGAATTCTGCTCCTTAAGTCCCACCAGCCACAATTCCAGCGCTCAATTGCCACAAGTGGCTGGTGGCTAATGATTAGACAGGACAGGTAGAGAATATTTCCATCACTGCAGAAAGCTCTATGGGACAGTGCTGGAGTAAAAAGAGGTTAGACAAATAAGCCAACAAAAAAACAAACCCTTTTCAAATCTTTAAAGAGCTGCCACATTGAAAAAGAAGTAGACGTCTTCCATATTGTTTCAAAGAACAAAACTAAGGGGAAATATGAACTGTTATAGCAAGACAGATCTCAGCTCAACATCTCTCTAGAACTAAAGCTAGATAACAGTAGAATGGGCAGCGTCCACTGCAGGAAGAAGTAACCCATTCTATTCAGTAGAGACAGACAAGCAAAGACCTACTTGATCATCTTTCAGAGATCAGAATTAGATGCCTTCTGCATATCTAGTTTTGAGTCTATAATTTTGACAGCAATTTACAAACAAGATAAAAGTGAAAGTCTCATAAATGGAATTTTAAAAGTCATTACTGCCAATAGATTATGGAACAGGCAGGAAAAATAAAAGCAAATAAGCAGGGAATCTAGTCAAAATTAAGGGGGTTAATTACTGGTAAAAGAGCCCTTGTGAATGTAGTAATTTGCAAGCAGAAAAAAAAATAAAGAAAAATGTGGTGAGAATGGTTCCAGTAATACAGAGATGGTGTACGAAAACTTCCATTTGGGTTATTAATGGAAACTTGACTATAGTTGAAATCAGTACTGCAGCCAGAGAATCTTTTATATTCTCTGCAAGAGAGAATATTGGCCTGTTTGTGTATAGCAATTATATGTTTTTGAAACTCTGGTCCCTCCTCCTCTCCACTGCCATTCACCACAGCCTTATAAGTCGTCTCTCAGCTCCAGAAACTCAGCCTCCTTTAAGAAGTCTGTTCATCTTCACAGGAATGACTCTCCTTTCATCCTTCTCCAGTCTGACTACAAAATGCCAAAGGATGCTGTCTCTTAAACGTCTATCCTCACTATGAATTTAACCCACCCTTATCTTCCATCCCAAAATGCATTTGGCTTGATTATAATGTAATATGGTAAATATATATTCATACTCATATATTGATTTACAGTTCTATTATCAGCACGTTAGTTGGTGCATGTGTACATGAGAACATTCATGCACACACACGATAACATCTTTGCTGGTAAGCATTCAGGAATCCGACACTAGCCCAATACTAAGCTTAAATGGTCACTCGATGGACTTTACAATAATGGACATGTCATGCGTCTGGATACAGAAGGTAGGAAGAAGAGACTCAAGCAGATGTGAATTTCAAAACTTTTTTTCTTGTAGAAAGGTAATGGAAACATAAGTATCTTTTGTTGTATCTAGAAGAAGAATGTTTAATAACAAACAGAAGACTGAAGGCTTGACAAAAGCAAGCGTAACAGAGTTTACAAAGAGTACAGAATAAGAAAAGGGTGAGAGAAGAGGAAAGAAGACTGAAATGGAACATGAAGAATAAATAAAGCCTAACCTTTTAAAAACCTGAGGTCTTCCCAAAAAGAAAGGAGGAAAACGAGGAGATTTCAACACGAGAGTGTCAAAGATGGAAAAGAGCCAGAAAGGGCTGTGGGCTTAAAAAAAAAAAAATCAATGAAGAAGCAGTGGTGTATGTTGGCAAACAGAAGTGTAGAGTTGAGGGGAGGGAGAATTTATAGCAGAGGAAGTTGGTGTGAAGTTTTCCTCTAAAGATGCCCAGCAGAGCAAAGAAGGAATGAAGGCAAAGGCCACTGGTAATGAGTAGGGCTGGGCTGAAACAGCACAGGAGAAAGCAACAGGGCCCAAGGTAGGAATTTTTTACTTTTAATTAACTGACCCAGATTTTCTTGTTTGGGGCCAAAGGCGACAGCAGGGTTTAAAGATCTTTAAAATAAATTTAAAAGACCTTAATCCTTGTAATTGCCTTTGGCCCGAAATAACATAAATTATAAAGATCATGATAGAGTCTCTGAGACAAGTAACAAATACCATTAGAAATACCAGCCTGAATAAAACAGCTTTAGCTTTCTCTTTCTATCAGCCACATAAAGACAGAAATTTTATAGCTACGTACATGTCCACAGAAGATAGTAAGTAACCTAACATCTATGGTAAAACTGAGTTACCTGCCTCTGTATCCTTTAGCCTAGTGCCCCCAGCCCAAGAAATGTTTTCCTTGGTTCAGGATACATAGTGCAGGTTAAAGGGCTGCACAGAAAAAAATTAAGGTTAAAAATAAAGACCACACGATGAAGTTGAGGGAAACCAGAAGTGCTATGTTACTGACATAGAAGGACAGAGGCATTAACAACATAGAATTCAGTCAAATCAGTGAGGGGAAAATATAGCACAAAGGCAAAACAAAGAACTATTCTTGATAGTCTCACTTTGGGTTTTAAATCAAATATTGAATCAGATTTTTCAACTTTTCTCTTTTTAAAAATTCAACACAATTGAATTGTTGGATAAATGAAGTCATGCAGTTTTAAACGACTATAAAAATTAGCGGATCAAATGTCTCGCTTTTTGGCAGACTGGATGGCAGACAGTAATGTTAGACCCAGATAACTTTGCCTTGAAGCCGCTCACTACGCTTCCTGCTCAGAGATCATAGATTCTACCTGTGAGGCCAAACCCGTATTCTTCACACAGGCATTCAAAGCCTTTAATGACCTAACCACAACTGGACTCAAATAATCCTAACTCCCTAAAGCGCACAGCCTCTGGACAGACCTTATCTCTGGGGGCTGGCCATCCCCACTGTCCTACCTGAGGTGGCAGTCTCCACCTACCGGCTCTGGCTGGCCAAGGCCTACTTTGGCGCGGTGCCCTCCTGCAGCCCGCCAGTCCCCATCACTTTGGCCCCGCGGCCCCGCACTCCTCCCTCTGAGTCCTTTCTGGGCCTCGCTGACTCTCCGTTTTGCCCAGGCCCCTTTCCCTCGCCACATGAATTCTCCTCCCCAAACAGAATACTTGGGGCCTTCTCCCTGCTCCATAATGTTCTCCAGGGGTTCGCTCCCACCTGCCCCCATTCAGTCACAAGTTCTGCATTCGGTGTCTACTAGGTGTTCTCCACCTGGGGTGAAAACCAGGTCCTGGACCCAGCAGGGACCCCTCAACTTTCTCAGGTGTTTCCACGACCCTCCCGGGGCTCCGGTCCCCCAAATCTCCCGACTGCAGCCAATCTATCCTATCCGGCCAAGGCGGCGGGGGTCAGCGGTGACTCACCGGAGGGCCGGCGGCTGGGGGGCCGGAATGCGCTCACTTCCTCACCGCGCGCACCTGCCCGGCACTGCTGGAGCGCAGCCCGGCCGGGCCTCCGGCGGATGTTTTCTGTCCCCGCGCAGGCGGCGCGCGCCAACCGCCCCCTCAGCCCGCGCGCCAACCGCTACGTCCCCCACAAATGGCATCTCCGACCGGGTTGAGCCCTAACCACTGACACCCCCTACACACATGCATGCATACACACACACACACACACCGCCCCCCACATCCCCCAACCAGAAGTGTGGCCTCCAGCCCCAAGAAGCTACACAGGCACACACAGGAGTGCATGCACGCCAACAGGTATGCAAGTGGGTTCAAACAATACCTTCTCGCTGCTCCCCAACTTCTGGGAAAGGGAACCCAACCTTTCTTTCCAGAAGCCCCCTACTCCTGCCTGTGTCCACCGACCCCATCTTCATTACAGACAGCCCTCACTTCTTCCCCATTGCCTCACACCAATCCCCACTGGGCCCCGTCTGCCTTCCAGCATCACCACCGCCACCTTCATGCTCTCCAGCTCCCCACTGTGTCTGCCCCCTATTGGGTTGGTTCCAGGTTGCAGGAGCAGAAGGTAGTCTATGGTCCCGATTTCCAGGGTGTCTGCTAGTGTCCCTTCCTGAGCAAGGTGGCGGAATAGCTACTGACCACTGTCAAGACTTCTGGGCCTTTGTGCTAGACAGGCCTCCTAATCCACCTGTTCCAGCCAAGAAAGCAGTCCAAGGCCATGCCTCCCACACACCAGCCTACATCAGGGCACCGTACTTCAACGGTGAGTTTTCTCTCTCTTGGCACTCCTCTGAAATGGAAAGGGTATCAGACCTGACTAAGGTGAAGGTGTGGAACAGTCTGCATCTCCATCCACTTAAGCTGTGTTCTTGGAAGAGGACAGATAGGGAGGTCGAGGTGGACTGATGAGTTGTTTCTGAATGGTGAAGAGGTGAGAGGCAGAGGAGCCCTCCACAAAAGTCAGCCAGAAGTTGTATCTGATCCACTGGGTGACAGGGAGTGGGAGTCCTGGAGTAAATGGGACTGGAGACTTAGAAGGAAAAATAGAATAAATCCCAAAGTGGGTAGGAGGGGAATACTTGGAACAGGGGTCTCTGGAGTGGGAAAAAATGAAAGAAATCCAGTTTGGCCAGGGGCCATTAGTATCAGAGGTGGTCAGCATTAAGAGTAGTCAGAAAGGAGAATTTGAGAGTTTGCATCAGTGGGGATGGGACAAAATGGATGAGAATCCATGAGAAAAAGGAGTCCTAAAGTAAGCTAGAGGAAGATAAGAAAATGATACCTCTTCCCAGGGTAGAAGCGAAGGTAGCGTACTATAGTTTTTATCAGCAACAGTTTCTCAAACCAGACACTTAGACTTTCAAGGAAACCAGAAGCAAAATCCTGGAGGTAGTTTTTGAAGTAGGTGGTAGGGATGACATGGAGAATGAGTGTGAAAAAGGGCATAAGTCTATGCTAAGAAATAGCAACCCCCAACCGAGGCCCTCAGCTGTGCACAGGGCTGCTCGATGTCATTAAAAGAATGTCTACCTATTGTGTCTCTGAGCTCTAGTACCAACCACAATAGTAGCTGATATTTTCTGAGGGCTATGTGCCGGGGACAGAGCTAAGAGCATTATAAGCATTATCTCATTTAATCCTTAACAACACTGTGAGTTAGTATTACTATCCCAATTTACAGATAAGGAAACAGGCATAGAGCGATGAAGTAACTTGCCCAGTCATATAGATCTTAAGTGGAGTCAGGACTTGAATCCAAGTAGTCTGACTCTACAACCTATGCTCTTAATCACCCATCTTGGGGTTCTCCAGAACTGGCAGGAAACCCAAAGAGGATGTCATAGGATAAATTCCAAAATCCCCATTCCAAAACATACAGGGGTACCTCTGGGAAACTGGAGTTAACTCATACCACTAGGGCATTAGAGATCTTCCTGCTCGAAAGAACCATCCCCAGATACAGGGAGGTCCTGTATCTGCTCTATGCTTAGGGGCAATGAACAATGGACAGTCCATCTCTGCGATGCCTGTGGAAAAGAGACACCCCCTCCACCCACCCACCTCTGAGGGGCATCCACATTTGTAGGATACTTCAGGGAGACCCTGTCTTAGGGTCTGAGAGAAACATTCTCCACTCCAGGTGCCTGTTCACTCTCCTGTAGCCTCTGGCTGTCGCACCCTACTGCAGCTCCTCGGTTTGGCTGGGGCACAGGATTAGCCATCCCCAGGAAATGCCTCCCTCCGGTCCAGGCAGGGATCCCAGCATATCCACCCCTGGAGAGTGTGTGCGTGTATGTGTGGTGTTGTGGGGTGGGGAGATGGGGGGAGATGGTGGAATGCTTCCTTCTCTCCAGGTCAGGAAGAGATCTGGGGACCACCTGGGGACCCTCACCCCTCCCACCTCCTTGCTGGGGAAGTGCCCAGTCCAGTGCCCCTTCCATGGCCACCTCCCTCCCCCTAGCTATGCGGGGGCATGAATCAGCTCTCACAGCTTGTTAAAGCTAGACCTCTTGTTTTCATGCCCTCACCTCAGGAAACAGAGTTACAGCTTTTCCAGCTCTACTCAGCAGGGGGCCAGGGTCCTCACTTTATAAACATCTCCAAGGCTGTGAGAGCAGAGGGCACGGAGATGGTGTGAGACAGGAGCCCAAGGGAAAAGACAGAAGCTAAGATTCAAGGAGAGAAACAAAGAAAAGCCAAGAAGACAAGACCACAGTAGCCTGAACAGAAGCCAAGAAGGGTCCGAAAGGGCTGTGCTGCTGGAATGGCCCTAAGGATGCTCTGGACTGGACAGGCTAAGGGGATCCTGGGAGGCTGGGGGATCGTCTGCTTGGTGACATCTCTGCTTCTCCAGCACCCAGGCGTCCACAGCAAGTGCTACTTCCAAGCTCAAGGTAAAGCTGGGTGAGGCGTTAGGAAATGACAGGAGCAGAGGGCATTGGGAGGAGGGGGGCTTAGAGATGACCCTCTGTCAGAATACCCTGACTCCCTCCAGCTCGGAAACAGGAGACACTAAATATAGTGGTAGTGTGCACTTTCTCTCTCCTACTCCAGAGTGACTCCGTCTGCCACCACCACTACCCCCCACACTAACATTTCCTGTTCTTCCCTAGCCCCCTGCCACTATGATGGGAAATATTTTACCCTGGGTGAGTCTTGGCTCCGCAAGGACTGTTTCCATTGCACCTGTCTGCATCCTGTCGGTGTGGGCTGCTGTGACACGTGAGTGACCAAAGATGGCCAGAGAGAATGGCTCTGACATGAGTGGCTGAGAGATGGTCAGGGCAAGACTAGATCGCTGTCATGTGAGAATGAATAGAATAGCAATGAGGCTGGCTGAGCCTGAAGGTACCAACAAGAGTGTGAGAGAGAAGGCTTCGGACTACAAAGTGAGGGAGGAAGGGGTAGATCCAGAGGGAAAATACTCCTGCTGTGCAATGAAAAATCCGCATCTGGTGAGAACTTAGTTGGCAGACCAGGAGAAACTAAGGGAAGATATTGGAAGAATGCTGGGAGAGAGGGAATGGGAGGAAGGATTACTGTGGCCCTTCATTGTGCTGACCCATTCCCCATTCTTTGGTTCCCCAGGTCCCAGCATCCCATCGACTTCCCCGCTGAGTGTGAGGTACGACAGGAGGCAGGAACCTGCCAATTCTCCCTGGTGCAAAAATCTGACCCTCGGCTGCCCTGCAAAGGGGGAGGACCTGACCCAGAGTGGGGCTCAGCTAACACCCCTGTTCCTGGGGCTTCTGCTCCCCACTCCAGCTAAACTCAACTGATCACCCTTCTGCTGACTGCCCACTGCTGCTGCCACTTCCAGGGAAACCACTAGCAGCTGCCAATTTATTCTGAATAAATAAATTAATGCTACAGCTGAAAGCCTCTCATTGTCCGTGCCATTGGACCCCAGACGGGAAAAATGGGCCCTACTGTAGTCCAGGTGCTGAGTTCTCAGTATCCTGAAGAAAAGAGTGCTGCGGTGGGCCAGTTTCAGATGGTTATGGTGCTGGTGCTAGGGCCTGGGGCCGCATATGAGGCCAGGGTTGGGCTTGTAGGCAGCACCTTGATGGGGAGGTCCCAGCTGAAGGTGTCTACGGGCACTTGCTCAGGCCCTGTCCAGGTGACAGGCTCAGGCTGTTCCATGGGCGGAAGGAGCACCAAACCTGGTTCTCGGGATGTTACAAATTCAAAATGCAATCTCCACTTCAGGGACACTGTGGAAAAAAGATAGAGGCAGAGCCATTAGAAGTCAGGAGTAAAAGCCAACGACAGGGTGTGGTTAGCAAATGAGCAAAAACCTATACTCAGGAAGAGGGGGGAAAGTCATGGGGCAGGAAGTGAAGATCAAGTGTTTCTCTGAAGAAATCTAGTGTGTTAACTAGAAATGCGACAGTAAGGACAGCAGTGTCAAGAACTAATAACCGAAGTGTGAGACAGTCAAGACTTGGTAGCGTGAAGTAAAGGTGGTGGGAACCAGAGATCAGTGCATCACAAGGTCCCAGGAGGTAGGGCTAGGGAAGGAGATCTGCAAAGCTGTTAAGAGTTTAGGGGTGAGTGCATCTAGGAAACAGTTTGAAGATATGAGAAAGTGTTAAGGGTCAAAGGCTGGATGTGGGTATGTCTGGGAATGTGGTAGGAATCAGGATCCATTACACTCCACCTAAGCACAGTATTTTACTCTCTCTCCCCACCTCCAGCAATGCTCAGGGTCTCACCAATGGCTGTGCAGAAGCCTGGGGTGGAGCTGAGAGGGATGGGAAGGGAGAAGCTGGTTCTGGTTGTATGTAGGCAGGACTCCTGGTGCCGGGCATGAGTCACATGGGACACAGAAGGGGCACCCCCTGCCCCTCGGCGCCGCTGGTACTCAGGCTGTACACGCTCCTCGGTCTGTAAGCTTACTGAAAACTGGGAGCAAGAAAAGTGCATGCTAGCAGGCATTGGGGAGTGCTGACTCTAGATGACAGCAGCCCAACCTAAACCTGTTTCACCAAAGAGACCGTGACGGACCCTGCTATCCACTTCTACATACCACCCGTCTTTATGCAAACCCTTCTCCTTCCCCCCTAGCCCTTCAGGCCCAGCACCCCTAAAAGCCCCTCTCCCTTCTCACCTGCAAACAAGCCACAGTTCCTTCCCCTAAGTTTAAGGTCCCCACCACGTCCTCGCCAAGTCTGTATACAGATTTGAAGATGCCAAATGTCCCAACTTTTCCTCGACCATCACTGATATTGTACAGATCTGGAGAAAATGGGACACTGTAAGCCTGGAGTCCACACTGGGGAATGTCTAGAGCTAGGAGCCAGAAGCCAAAAGGTGGGGCTGCTTTTCTTTATAATCTGGGGTCTCTGTGGATCCTCAGAAGTATGTAGCAGTTAGGAGAACCTGCCTCTGGGACAGAAATACTATGAGGGGAATACGGGTGAGGCTTTTGGAAAGGATGCTCACGAAGGCTTCGGCAGGATGTGGCAGCCATGAGGCGCTCCCCAGCCAGCTCAGCTAGCCATGAATCCTTCTTCCCACTTTCATCCTCCTCCAAGAATGGACTGGATGGGGCTACAGCCTCATCCTGGGGAAACCGAACATCCTGAAGGCCTGGAAAGAGAATGAGTGGAGAAGTAGTGCTGGGCAGGAACAGAGATAAGAGTTGAGGTTAGGCGTTTAGACTCCAACCTGAGAGGGCTGAATTCAGGCGAAAGGAGCCACAGCTGAGGTACACATCTCAACCTATTCTCCCCAATCCTCCCTCCCCCACGGTCTTGCACCTTCACCAAGTCAGAGAGCTTCCCTCCAGCCCCTCTCACAAGCTCTCTGAAGACCATTTCTGCTTTGGTGAGGCGCTTCCCCAGCCCTTCCCTCCAGGATTCCTTACTTACCAGTCAACACAAGAACCCTCAGAGGGACCCTGAGTAAAGTGATGGGTGAGTTGACGCGCTGGCAGCCAATGGTCAGTTTGTAGACATACTTGACTGACTGACCCCGAAAGGAGGGTGGTCCCTCTATGGGCAGCACTTCGTTGTAGGAGTCTGGTTGGGAAGTAGCAGTCAGGGCAGCCAGAGGCAGCCAGAGAGGTCCTCCCTCCAGGAGCCTTAGCAGGCCATCCAAGGGTGGGAGAAAGTCACTCACATGATTTAGATTCTCCAGGGTCTAGCCTCAGGTCACAGAATAGGATTTTTGGTGGAGTGGAAAGGATACACTGACCCCTCTCACCTAAAAAAAAAAATAAGGACTGCGGTTTAATGACCTCATTGTCCAGTGCTGGACGAAGCTAGCACAGCAAGTGGGGGCAGGAAGCACTGCTAACAAAGGGCAACCCACAGTAAGCTACTCCTCTTTTCTTGTTGTGAGGTTGCAACAGTCTTACCACCCCAAAGCAACAATTACATTCCCCCACATCCCCAAGTCACAGAGATGATAATGACCCACCCGAATGATTTAACAAGGTCACCCTTCAGTGACAATTACTCCATTTCCCGCCACAGGCAAATGCTCCATCTCTAACCTCGGTGTGGTAGAAAAACAGTCTGGCTCTCGGGCTGAACGTCTGGCTGACTGGAGTCAGGGGGAGGCAGTGCTACGCGACTCTCACTGGCATGGAATTGGCAGTGGATTTGGGCACTGGCCCAGGCCAGAGCCTCACTATGGGAGGAGGGAAAGGAGGCATCAGAGGGGAGTTCCTGACCTCATCGATGCTCTTCCAAACTCCCTACCACACTGTCTAAAAGACCAACATGGTTGAGGTGGCTGTCCTAAGAATCAGGGGATCTAGAACCCCAAAGAGGAACCTTCTCTTTAAACAAAGAGAAGCACACTGTGGGTAAAAGGGGAATGGGAGGGGGTAGGGAGAAAAGCAGAAAAAAGGGTTATGTCAACTACATCTTCTGTTAAATAGTCCTTTCCTACAATAGGAGCACAATGAACAGGGAGGTGGATGGTAACTACAAAACAACCTGAGCTCTGGCTTAGCACTACAGATACCAAGCTTCCTCCCAGAAGGACCACCTTCTTCAGTACCAGCATCCTCACCTGGATGCAGAAGTGGCTGTAGGGGGCAGAGGGTTGGTGACTGTCACCACACACTCCAGCGCCTCCCCTGCCAGAAACACAGGACCTCGGCTCAGCTCTGCTACCACTTCAATCATGGCAGCTCCGGAATCGGATCTAGGAGACAAGGGGGGCTTAGAGGTCAGTACAATGGAGAGGACGGTGTCTGAGTGAAGTCCAGGGTTGAGGACCGAGGAGACAGGCAAGGCAGCATCACGGTGTCAGAAGGAAGCGCCGGATTTGGGGGCAGGGAGGTGGATGAGAGGTACCGGGGGTAGCTGACTCAGTACTACCTCGGGGGCGGGCGTCGCTCTGGGTCCCAGACGCCTGCCCCTCTCAGCATCGGGTTAGTCCCCCTACTCCCCACCCCACCCCCGGAACCCCAGCCCGGCCTCCGCCCCGCCTCCCTCAAGGTGCCACGTCCCAGCCTAAGTCCACAGGCACCCGTCGCCTCGTGCCCCCAGCCCAGGCACCTGGCACGGTCGACACTGGGGGTCTCGGCACACCGAGGCCCGCCCCTTCTGGACCAGGCCAAGTGCGTGGCGGCGTCCGCAGCAGAGGCGGTGCAGCAGAGGCGGGACTTCCCTTCAGCCCCCTCCCACGACCGGGCCCCTTCCGGCCGGAAGCGCCGGGCTGGCCGGACCGGAAGGGGCTTGAGTGCCGCCGCCTTGGGTCACCTTCCCACGGCCTGGCCCCTGGGCGCGGGCGCTTTCCCAGACACCGGCCGGCGGGTCCCGGCGCCCAACCCTGGGGGGCCTGGTGCTGCGGCCAGGGGACGCGGCTGAGGCTGCCGCGACCTCCCAGGCCGGTCCCGGGGGCGGTGCCTTGAGGGCTGGCTCTCCGGGCCCCTCCCCTCTCCGCGGGCCCAGTAGTCGCCCTTTGGCCAGGCAAGCTAATCATCGCGGCCCAATGACGACGAGGCCCGACTCTTCCCGCCCAGGACCCAGAGAGACAACCGAGGGGGAGCCCGAGGCGGCTTCATTGCTGTCGCCTCCACCGCCGCTGCAGCAACAGCTCCCGGGTTGCACAGAGACACCTGCTCACCTCTGCTGTCCCCAACTCCCGGCCCTCCGGGACGGCACCTAACAACAACCGGCGCCCGCTTCTGGACTTGGCTGGCGAGTACTTTGTATCAGAAGAAGGCTTGGGACCCGGGACCATCGAGGTCGTGGGGATCCAGGGAACATGGGAACCGGAGTCCCATCCTCGGAGCAAACCAGCTGTGCCAAAGGGGATCCACAGGTTTATTGCGCTGAAGGTGCTGGAGGCACTGAGGCTGTGCAGGTTACTGATTGCGAGAGCCCTGAGGATGATCGACCCCAAAATGAGCCGAGCTACCACAATCCAGAGGACTCTGGGCAGCTGATGGCTTCCTACGAGGGTCAAGTTAAGGGCTACCAGGTCCCTCCCTTTGGCTGGCGCATCTGCCTGGCTCACGAGTTTGCAGAGAAGAGGAAACCCTTTAATGCCAATGACATCTCTCTAAGCAACCTGGTAAAGCATCTGGGCATGGGCTTGAGGTGAGTAGATCCCAATGCCTAGAATACCTTAGGGTTCGCTTTGTTCCAGCATGAGACTTCCAGCAGAGATGGGAAAGGTGAGAAAGCAGGTAGGTGCCTTGTCCCAGTCAAGTAGTCCCTATCCCCGACATACTCTAAGGCCTAGTTTTACAGGGTGAGACCCGATCACATCGTTTTGCAACCCCCTTCCTCCCGGTAATGTATCTTTTTAGCAGGAAAGAGCAGCCACATCTGGGCCTACAGTCAGCTTTTCCCATTTGGGCTCCCGGGCACACACTCCCTCTTTCACAAAGACTGCACTTTAGAATTAGCTATACTTTGTGGCAAGGTGGGAAAGGATAGTCTGGCTGCTATCGTACTGACACAATGTTGTTTTATTTGGAAGGGGGAGGTTCTCAGCCCCAGATGCCCCTGTGCCACTGGGGTAGTCTCGGTACCTCATTTAGGCACACCACATTACAGTCCCCAACGCCCAGCAGTTTCCTCAAGCTTTATTTAGCTCCAGGGAGTGGGAGAGACCCTGCCTGCTCTCAACCCCAAGGAGAGGATGATGAGAAGTGCTGTTCACTCTATTCTGGGATAGATAGCCCCTGATATAAAAAAGCAAAGACCTCTGACCAGAGAGGCGCTGTCGTAGGTGTTCCCAGGGCTCTTAGTAATAGTGTTCCAGAGCCTGCCACACTCTCTCTCCCCACACTCCCTACCCAAGGGTTGCAAACACCCGAAGAGCTTGCCTTAGGTTGTAGAACTCCTCTAGATCCCTTCAGATCCCCACTGAGTTCAAAAATTAGTGATGAGAAGCCCAGACCTACGAATGTACAAATATTCACAGGAACAGGTGGATGTGAGGACAAAAAGCATCACCCTGAGGTCATCCTGAGTCAGTCCACACTGTAAACACAGAGCCAGGGAGGGAGGCATGAAAGGCTGGGAAACCCAGCACTGACATCCTCTAAAGTAGGGGATCCTTCCCTTTTCCAGTCAGTGCTGTGGAGCTGGGGTGGGGAGTCTGTTTACCTAACCCCAGTTCTAGGCAGTGGGAAGGGGCCTGGTGCTGCCTGGGTACCCAGCTCCTCTGCTAGTCCCTGTGGTTGGCTTGTACCAGAGAACAGTCATCCCTCCAGGCTGCTTCCGAAACTGACCTAGCCCAACTTTGACCCCAAAAGCCTTTGGGTCAAAATAGGATCTAAGGCTTGGGTGCTGAGAGAAGCACATTGGGGTGCATATGGTGGGGACAATGAGGTCAAAAATAGGTGGTCATCCTAGCCTCTCAGTCTCTATGAACTGAATCATAGGGGCCTGAAGTTGTGCTCAGCCCCCTGGACCTTGGCTTCCCATACCTGGATAGGGTGAGGGCCACTAACACCAGGCTTTTGGAATGGGATGAGGTCCTGCATTAAGGGGAAAGGGGTGAGACAAGGAAGAATTCTGAATCATCTTAAGTTGGGGCTGAATTATGGAGAAAGCCAAATAGGGTAGGAATGGCCAGCTGCTAAATTAAGGGAGTGACAGAAAGGCAGACCCTAAGAGAGAGCTGGACTGAGGGTGCACTGATCAGGAGCTCCAGGAAGATAGACTTCTCTTGGCCTCTGTGTGGTAAGAACTCAACTGTGATTGCTCTCCCTTCCAGACAGAGTCCATTCAGTCAATAAATATTTATTGAGTGCTTATTCTATTTCTATGCTAGATACTCTTTTGTTCTGCTTATCCCCATATCTTGCATTTCTCCTTCACTTCTCCAATTCCTACTGCACTCTCCCTTCCTTCACCAATGCTTTGTGGCCTCTAATTTCCAAGACCAGTTTCCTCTAAGCTGACAGGGAGGATCTTCTGCCTTCCCATCATCTCATCCTTTGTCTTCCCTTCCTCTCTCCCACCCCCAGGATGTACCCTCCCTATTCTCTAAGCACATTTCCTCTCCCCTTGCTCCTGTCCCTGGCCATCTCTCATATGCCCCACTGTTTGTACATTCATTTGTAAATTCAGCGAATATTAATTGAGTGCACACCATGTACCCTGCACTTGAAGCTATAAATAATAATCAACTAATCTTTGTCACTATCCACTTTCCCCAAGGATCTTAAAAGTATGTCAGACTCATGTGAGGAACACTGAAATAACAAGACAGCATTTGATTGGGAATTGAGATGGTGTATGTACAATGATCGTACCTGACACGGGTATTCCACTTTATGGCTTTCCTATCTATTATATCATTTGTTCTTTCGACCATTCCATGAGGTAGGTAGGTAGGGCAGGAGGTATTCCCGTTGTAGATGAGGAAACCGAGGCTCCGAGGGGTTACTTACTCAATTACATGGTTACAAAGGTCGTGCTTCAGTAGTGGGTATAAAATGGCTGGGTAGGGAGGAGAGTGGAACTGGGAGAGAGTCTGGGGTTGCTTAGTGAGGATCCACCCTGAACGGGAATTTGTAGAAAGTTAGGATCAGAAGATGGTCTGCGACCGATGTGAGAACCTTAAATGAATCCCAAACAGAATCATATGACTGTTGGATATAGAGCTGTGACAAGACCAGAAAAATGTTGGGATTTTTAGAAGACTTTCCTGGGGTATTATGAGAGAGCAGAATCACAAAGCTTATAGTTTAAATCCTGAACTTAGAAAAAAGAAGAAGAAATACCCCAAAATGTAAACACTGGTTTTCTGTGGGTGGGATTTCCCCCCCCCCTTCCACCTACTATATTCTACTAATTTTCACCTTTCATAATCAGGAAGAAAAAACATTTTAAAAAGAAAGTTATCCCAGCAGCCTTTGCCTATTGTGGCAAGCGGAGGGGTTGTAGGTCAGGAAACCGTAACTGGCCCTTTCAAGACCTCAAAACAAAAGCTCCTGGGATAAGCTAAAGCCGTGGTAGTGGAGCTAGAGGTGAGGAAAGACCAGAAAGCACTTGAGGAGAACATAGAGGAGAAACAAGGACAGTTCCACACTGTGAGCTGGGGTGACTAGGAAGATGAGGGGGCCTTGAACTGGAGACAAGTCGAAAAGAGGAAAGGTTTGGAAGCAAAGGTGATGGGTCCTTGGGACAGTTAATGGGAAATCACAGATGGCTGTCCAGAAAGAGGTAGGTGACTTCAGCCCAGGAGGCACTACCCGCTGCCTCTTCTCACACTGCCTCTTGCTCCTTAGGTACTTGCAGTGGTGGTACCGGAAGACCCAGGTGGAGAAGAAGAAACCCTTCATCGATCTCATCAACTCTGTGCCCCTGAGACAGATCTATGGTGAGCGTCACTCCAGCCCTGCCCTGTTCAGACAGGGCCCAGCTTCCAGGTCTACGCAGAGCTAGGCAAAGAGGATTCCAGCTTAGGCAAGCTGCACTGCCCCTATCCCTTAAGGGTTTTTTTCCATCTTTGTCGAAAATATGATTGACATATAACATTGTGTAAGTTTTAAGATGTACAACGTGTTGATTTGATATTCCCATGGTTTTTAGAGGAACCCATCTTTATAGTCTAGCAAGTGAGAAATGGGCTTGTTTGCCTCTCCCCATGCCCCAGTAATGATCCTGACTCTCTCTGTAGGTTGTCCCTTGGGTGGCATCGGAGGAGGCACCATCACCCGAGGCTGGAGAGGCCAGTTCTGTCGTTGGCAGCTTAATCCTGGCATGTACCAACACCGGACAGTCATCGCTGACCAAGTAAGAGCCAAGAGGTGGAGGAGAGGTCCAGGAAAGGACCTCCCCAGGCCAGGAAGGGCCTCTTTGCTAGTGTAGGATGTGGCAGTTAGATGTGCGCATGATTCAGTCCAATAAGTCCTTTCAGGATGCTTTCCATGTTCCCAGTCCTGTGCTAGGATGTACTAGACGAATGAGACAGAGCACACGTTCCTTGAAAGAGTCAACAGCCCTGGCACCCCTCAAGTAAACGCCTCTGACCTACTTTGCTGCCCCAGCTCCACTAGCTGAGCAGTACCCAGCCACAGAGTGCAGAGAATTCCTAGGTCACTTAACCTGGTTGAAAGAACATGTAGTAGGACCAGAAGGGAAAACAAAACCAGAAGTCTACAAATATATGGGGGGACGCGGAGGGGGAGATGTATAGAGCACCCACTGCTCACCCTGATTTGGCAGCCCTCAGCCAGAGGTCAGCTCCTCTGCTGGCGATCACTCCTCTGGAGGTCTCTCTGACTGAGGCCCTGGGGAGCCCTTCCTCTCCCAGACAGAGAGCTCAAGCCTTCTTCCCTTTTCTGAAGCTTCACTTTTCCCTCTGTTCCTTCCTCACACCTGGACCTTGGATTGCCAGAGGCCTGGGATCTACCTTTCATCATATCTCTCTAGTGTCCTCTCAGGTTGAGTTGTCCACCAAGTTCCTATTTACTGTTTGAGGGATGCCTCCAGCTTTCAGCTCATCTTCAAAGGAAAAATGACTAGCAGACCTTGAATCCATTAATGACAATGCCCTTCCTAGTTGGCTTTACAGCCCTGCCCAATGCCCCAAGCTTCCTCTCTGGCTCATCCCTTAGGTATCCTGAGGGGAATGCCTTCCAGAATCGTGACTCTACATTTAAAGTAATTACTGCATGCTTAACATGTGCTAAGCGTTTTATATAATATTTAATATTTAAAGTCAATCCTGTAAGTTCAGCATCATCATTACTGTGCCTATTTTACAGATGAAGAAACTAAGATCCAAAGAGGTTTAGTAATGTGCCCAAGGTCACATGGTTGGTAAATGGAAGCGCTGGGGTTCAGAACCAGTTCTCTCTGTGGTTAAGAGCCCCTGGTCTTAACCATTATCTAGTATTCCAACAACATAAATTTTTACAAGGGGAATAGGACTTTGAGAAAATGGAAACTGTGAGATCACATCAGTGCCCGAATGAGAGGGATGGATAGTACACTAAGAAAAAAGGGACACTGCTGCATCTTTGCCCATTCTCTCCCTGCACATGCCAACTCTGCCTGACTCCAATGTGGAGCCATAGGTGGAGAGGGGGACCTCAGTGAACTAGAGAGGGTCCCTGCCCTCAAAGAACCCATAGAGCAATCAGGGAGTCAGAATGTAAATAAGTTCATTATAACATGCTAGACTAGAGGGTTAGGGGGATACACAGAAGAATGGCTCACTGCTTGAGGAGAGGAGATGGCATTTGACTTAGGCCTTAAAGGATGGGGGGTTTTACTAGATGGAGAATGAGCATGAGCAAAGGCATGGAGAGGGAAATGTTTGCTCAAGGAACCGTAAGTATCTGATATGACCAGAATGTAGGTTCTTGAACAGGTAATGAGTCTGATGGGCAGGGAGAGGCCAGATCAAGAAGGCCTTGAAAGCCAAGCAGAATTTAAACTTTAGTCTGAGGGCCATGGGGAGTCACTGAAACATTGTACACACAGATTAACATATCTTGATTTGTGTGTAAGAAGGATTCTGATACCCAAGTGAGAAGGGGCAGAGGGTAAAAGCAGAGATGGAGAAGGTTTGGGTTAGGACAATAAGACCACAGTAGTGAGAAGGGAGAGGAAGCCTGGGAGATAGATGGAGAAGGAGGCTGGACTTGGAGGTGACTCACTGAGTGAGCTTGGGGGAAAGGCCTGGGGGGTGAGAGAGGCTGTGATACAATGGTAACTAACCATTGTAGGCTCTGGAAGAGGAGGCGCTTTTTTTTTCTTTTTTTTTTAAATTGGGGAACAGTGTTTCTTTCCAGGACTCATCAGCCCCAAGTCAAGTAGTTGTCCCAATCCAGTTGTGGAGGGTGCAGCTCAGTGGCCCATGTGGAGATCGAACCGGCAACCTTGGTGTTATGAGCACTGCGCTCTAACCAACTGAATTAATCAGCTGCCCCAGGGAGGAGCTACTTTGAGGGGAGGGAGACTAGTTTGAGGTGCCTGTGGATTACCCCGTTCTAGCCTATCTTCCTTTTTGGTTTAGTTCACAGTATGCTTGCGTCGGGAAGGGCAGACTGTGTATCAGCAAGTCCTATCTGTGGAGCGCCCAAGCGTCCTGCGCAGCTGGAACTGGGGCCTGTGTGGATACTTTGCATTCTACCACGCCCTCTATCCCCGAGCCTGGACTGTCTATCAGCTTCCTGGCCAGAATGTCACCCTCACCTGCCGCCAGATCACACCCATCTTGCCCCATGACTACCAGGTGAGATTCCCCTTCTGTGTTTCCTCCATTATCTTCCCTTCCCCGGGGTCTGTCTCTGCTGGAAATCCCATGACCTATGAAAGAAGGGATTGAAGCATGAATATTACATGGTTTCCCAGCATCTCTGCCCAATTGTTCTGTCTCACAATAGACAGCCTGCCTGGGAATGTGGGGAGATGCATGTGGAAGACGAGAATATATTGGGAGTTTTTGAGTCAGGTTCTTGATACTGAGAATTGTCCCTAGGGAGTGGGCCCAGGAGGGGCTACACTGGGACCATCTGAGTCTGATGTTTTGTTCCCAGGACAGCAGTCTGCCTGTAGGAGTCTTTGTGTGGGATGTGGAAAATGAAGGGGACGAAGCCCTGGATGTGTCCATCATGTTCTCCATGCGGAATGGACTGGGAGGTGGAGATGATGTCCCAGGGGGTTTGTGGAATGAGCCCTTCTGTCTGGAGCATGATGGGGAGACAGTCCAGGGGCTGCTGCTGCATCATCCGACCCTTCCAAATCCCTACACGATGGCTGTGGCTGCACGGCTCACGGTATGGAGCAGCCTGCCCTAGACCTTAGCCCCCGAAGCCCTACCCTCAGCCTGGTCCCTGAGCCCCACCTCCAACCCCCCCATCCCACATGTCTCTTCATTTCCTCAACGCCCAAGTCCCACCCTCACCACAGCCCTTAAGCCTCTAGACAGCGGTTCTCAACCTTCCTAATGCCGCGACCCCTTAATACAGTTCCTCATGTTGTGGTGACCCGCAACCATAAAATTATTTTCGTTGCTACTCTATAACTGTAATTTTGCTACTGTTATGAATCGTAATGTAAATATCTTTTTGTTTTCCGATGGTCTTAGGCGACCCCTGTGAAAGGGTCGTTTGACCCCCAAAGGCGTCATGACGCACAGGTTGAGAACCGCTGCTCTAGAACTTGGAGGTGGGAATATGTAACAGGAACTAGAGTTTGTCAGAAGCCAGTGTACTTGTGGCGCTTTCCTTCACAGTCTTTGGCCCCTTAACAGGCAGATACGACAGTTACCCACTTCACAGCCTTTGACCCCGACAGCGCTGGGCAGCAGGTGTGGCAGGATCTACTTCAGGATGGACAGCTGGACTCCCCCGCTGGTGATGGGGGGTCTAACAGGGAGGTGGTGGGAAAGAGGTTGTCCCTGTTTGGGGAGCAAGGTGGGAGGCCTGGTAAATGAATAGACCTTGTTCCCATAATTGGGATCCTGGGGATGAAGGCGGTACCTGTGCTGATTTCTCTTGTGCTTCTCAGGCCAAAGCGCCCCCTCGCAGAAAGGGGTAGGCATCGCTGGGGCTGTGTGTGTTACAAGCAAGCTGCCACCTCGAGGACAGTGCCGCCTGGAATTCTCACTGGCTTGGGACATGCCCAGAATCATGTTTGGAGCTAAAGGCCAGGTCTACTGCAGGTGAGGGGACCGAGAGAGTACAGGGATCCAAGGTGCTATAGGGCTCTGACTTAGAGCCCGTGTTCTCACCCTCCCCTTTCCTTCCACCGCAGGCGGTACACGAGGTTCTTCGGCTCAGAAGGTGATGCAGCACCCGCCCTTAGCCACTATGCACTGTGTCGATATGCAGACTGGGAAGAGAGAATCTCAGCTTGGCAGAGCCCAGTATTGGACGACAGGTGCCAGTGGTGCCCATCTCTTGCCTTTCTCGCAGGCACTCCTATTCCAACTAGGACTCCTTGAATCACTCCACCCACCAAAGTCAGCAGAGTTGGGCTGGGATTCATTTGATGCCCCCACTCTGCTGAACCCCAGAATCCTTCCTTTCCTGGAAGGTTCACAACTCATGAGACTGTTCTCTCCTCCTGGTTCCCCAGATCCTTGCCTGCCTGGTATAAATCTGCACTGTTCAATGAACTATACTTCCTGGCTGATGGAGGCACAATATGGCTGGAAGTTCCTGAGAACTCCCTACTGGAAGAGTTGGGGGGGAACATGTGTCAGCTCCGCCCCATCCTACAGGAGTACGGTCGCTTTGGCTACCTTGAAGGTACAGGCTGCTGATGGGCTGTGGTACGGCAGACCGTTGTGAGGCCAGTGAGTGCCCTACCATCAGGCAGAATGATAGGTTTTCTCTACCCCAGAGTATTGGTTGGGATGAGGGGGCAAGTGGCAGGTATGGAGTGTAACAGTGCCCCATCCTCATCCCTGGACAAGCTAGGGAGGGGTATTCGAAGGGGAAGCAGGAGTTCTGGCAACACTATCTCCCTCATTGCTCCAGGCCAGGAATATCGCATGTACAACACATATGATGTCCACTTCTACGCTTCCTTCGCCCTCATCATGCTTTGGCCCAAACTCGAGCTCAGCCTCCAGTATGACATGGGTGAGGGTCTCTTTTGTGCCCCTTCTGCATTCTTAGCTCCCCAAAGCTCTGAACTTCTATGGTCCCTCAGACTCTCTTCCCCTTGCCTCCCAAACATATCTACATCCTGTGTATTGGTTCCCCTCTGGGGTCATACACGTCTCTGCCCCACCTCAAGCCTGCCCATTCCCTGCCCAACTCGTGTGTCTGCTCCCCCAGCTCTGGCCACACTCAAGGAGGACCTGACATGGCGACAGTACCTGATGAGTGGGGTAATGGCACCTGTGAAAAGGAGGAACGTCATCCCCCATGATGTTGGAGACCCGGGTAAAAGTCCCTCCATCTCAACTTGCCTTCCTCAGCGTTTGCACCCTCTACCCTACCCACCAGTGCACACGAACCAGGTTCCATTCTCTCCCACAGATGACGAGCCATGGCATCGCGTCAATGCATATGTGATCCATGACACTGCGGACTGGAAGGACCTGAATCTAAAATTTGTGCTGCAAGTTTATCGGGACTATTACCTGACGGGTGACCAGGGCTTCCTGAGGGACATGTGGCCCGTGTGTCTGGTAAGGGATGTATGTACAGTGGTCAGTGTGCCAGGGGCCTGACTGGCGTTTAGGGAGAGCCCAGCTGGCTACTGTCTTTCCTTAGTATCTAGGTCTTCAGTATCTTGGTCCCTCTCTAGGCCGTGATGGAGTCTGAAATGAAGTTTGACAAGGACCAAGATGGACTCATTGAAAATGGAGGCTATGCAGACCAGACCTATGATGCATGGGTCACCACAGGCCCCAGGTTGGGGGGTAGGGATTTCCAGGGGACCTGAGGTGGGGAGCTGGGAACCCAGGGATTGTGGGCTGAAAGAATAGTGACCCATTGCCTGTTGTATTGCATGGGAGTGGCTGGAGCTGCCAGTCTGACCCCCTAAACCTGTGTCCCTGATTAGCGCTTACTGTGGAGGACTGTGGCTGGCAGCTGTGGCTGTGATGGTCCAGATGTCTGCTCTGTGTGGGACACGGGACGTCCAGGATAAGTTTTCTTCCATCCTTAGCCGGGGCCAAGAAGCCTATGAGAGACTGCTGTGGAATGGTGAGTTGAGGGATCCTAAGGAATCTTAAGATAGCTATGGGGACCAAGGAGCCTTAACTTTGTACTTCCTCCACTCCAGGCCACTATTACAACTATGATTGCAGCTCTCAGCCTCAGTCCTGTAGCATCATGTCTGACCAGTGTGCTGGCCAGTGGTTCCTGAGGGCCAGTGGCCTAGGAGAAGGAGACACTGAGGTGAGAGACTAGGAGAAGGAACCAGGAACATGGGTTTTTCTTGGAGGTGCAAAGTAAGTTTAAGAGACCGTGTTTCTGCCTTTGCTCCTCTAGGTATTTCCTACCCCACATGTGGTCCGTGCTCTCCAAACTATCTTTGAGTTCAATGTCCAGGCCTTTGCAGGAGGGGCCATGGGGGCTGTGAATGGGATGCGGCCCCATGGTGTCCCTGACAGATCCAGTGTCCAGTCTGATGAAGTCTGGGTAGGCGTGGTCTATGGGCTGGCAGCTACCATGATCCAGGAGGTAATGCACTCCCTTCCCCAGCTCTCCATCTGTCACTTGGCCCAGCATACTTCCTCAGCCACCAAACTTTTTACAGCCTAACCCAGTGCCATCTTCCCCAGAAAGCCTCCCCCTTTGCCCTGGCATGCATTCCATCTCCTGCCTGTGGGTCAAGTTTATCTCCCCCACTAGTTGGGAACTCCCTGAGGTCAGAGACCCCATTGTCTCCATCTGTCCAGCTGAAGTGGCTATTCAGGGGTTGCCAACTAATGTGACTCCCATCTCTTCCTACAGGGCCTGACTTGGGAGGGCTTCCGGACAGCTGAAGGCTGCTACCGTACTGTGTGGGAGCGCCTGGGCCTGGCCTTCCAGACCCCGGAGGCATACTGCCAGCAGCGGGTGTTCCGCTCTCTGGCCTACATGCGGCCATTGAGCATCTGGGCCATGCAGCTGGCCCTGCAGCAGCAGCAGCATAAAAAGGCCTCCAGGCCAATAGCCGAACAGGGCACAGGACTAAACACAGGGCCTACACTTGGACCAAAGGAAGCCATGGCAACCCCAAGCCCAGAGTGAGCCCTCTGAACTGTGGGAGGGAGGTACTAACAGCCCAGCCTCCAGCCTGGCCTTTACTCCTCCCTCTCCCCAAGTCTCCTGCAACCCTGAGCCACCAGGACAATCATGCCCCTTCCCTTCTCCCCACCCAGCCACGCCAGTAAAGGGGTTGAGGGTGACCCAAGCATCAGAATCACTTATTTATTTCTTTCCTCACCCCATCCCCTCACTGCATGAAATGTTCAAGAAGGTCAGTTGATTCCCCCAGGCCCACTCACGGGGTAATAGACATACATGGATATAAATAAAAGACCCAGAAAGTTGGTTAAGTGTGGTGTATTTGAGCCCTCAGGCTTCCTGACAGCACAGGAGCTGAGACCAGCCCTCTCCTGTTCCTTTTCACTTGGACACAGACTAGAGGCCTTAGGCCTCACACCTAGCCTGAGTATCTGCCCTGCAAGATAACAGATATGGGGCTATGGGTTGGGAGCCATCCCCTCTCTCTTGTGAGATTTGCATGCAGGGGAAGTATGGGACCTGGGCAGGGGGATTCTGAGAAGGGGTCAGGGAGTGGCAACTTCAGGGGAGGCTCTGTGCCAGGAGCCTGAGGCATGTTGTAGAGCAGGCAGCAAGAGTTGCTAGGAGCCTGAAGCTCATGGTCTGAGCTGTCCTTTGGTACCTCCGACTTCAGGGCATGCAGCTCCAGCTGATGAGGATCCTCACTAGGGAGGGCACGAAGCTGGCGGGATAACACTGAGGAGACAAAGACTTCAGGAGCGGGCCAGGCTTTTCCCCCTGATCTCCCCGTAATGGCACCCTCAAGCCTCACCTCCATGCTCAGGTGGCAGGCTCCCCCTTGTGTCCGAGGAGTACATAGCAGGTACAAAGAGGAGACAGAAGGAGAACAGTAGGACCTGGAACACAGGAAAGGGAGATGAAGAAGGGTTCTGGATTGTACCCATGTTCCTGTCAACTGAGAGAAGGATCTCTCCTTCCATCACCATCCTCACCAAGACACAGGTGCTGCTGCTGCTGCTTTTGTTTGATATCTGAATCACCATGGCCTGCAGTCTCCTCAGCTGATCCAGGAGAGACCTAGGAGAGAAAGGACAGTGAGCAGCCCCTCACCTGGCACCCTGAGATACAGTGAAACCTTCCTGTTAAGGGCACCCCTCCATCTGTGCACTAGGTCCTCTTTTTTTTTTTTAAGCAGGAGAAAAAGTTTAATAACATGTATACCCTGTGTATACAAGAGACCCAGAAGCTCTTTCTTTTTGTCCTATTTTTGCAAATGTCTTCCCCTCTGTGGACAAAATGCCTAAAGTTCCTCATTAAAACAAATACACACCTCTGCCCTGCCCTGACTTAAACTCTTACAAAGTCAGTGGTTCTATACTGCCTAATTAGCTATGCACATAAATCTCACCAAGCAGCCTACATTCTCTACCTTCTGGCCCAACTCACCTATGTTAGGGTTCCAGCCAGACTGAACTGTGCTGTACTCTCTCTCCCTAGAATGCTCCCTATTCCCACCCACCCCCTGTAATCCTATCTACTATCAAATACCATCTGCCCTGTGAGGTCTTTCTTACTCTCTTCCTTTTGTCTTTCCTGATACTTAACTTATCCTTAGTTATTGGCAAATTTAATCCCCATACTGTGAGCATCTTAGAATCAGAGACCCACTGAAGGCCATATAACCAGACTTTGCATGTGGGAGCTGCCCAGTTGGAAATCAAATATGGAGCAGAGGAAAGAGTAAAGGCATTAAATGGGAGGGATGAGAAGAGACTGATGTTAGAGAGTTGCTTACAGATTCTGTTCTTCCAGGAGCTGTACTTTGTTCTGTAGCTCCAGATTCTGGGCTGTGTATTTCAAGACCCTAGGGAAATAACAGGGATGGGAGGATATGGCCTGTATCCTCCCTTCAAAAACCTACCACTTCCAGCTACTTCTGTCCATCCACCCGAGTCCCTCTCCTGTTTATACCTGCTCTCTAAACTCCCCAGGTACACCTTCTTCTTCCTGCGGCTCTCTTGAGCAGACTTCTTATTTCGAATCTTCCTCCGCACTCGTTTCAGCACTTGTTCCTCCATCTGAGAGAATACAGGGAGAACGGGTATCATCAGAGGAACACTGGACCAAACAGTTAGTTGTAAGGCAACTGAGTTCAATCTTCTCAATGCAGGAATCCCTTCTACAGCTTCTTTGACCAACAGGCACTTGGCTTCTGGCTGAATGCCTCTGAGGACCAGGTGTTAACGCCCTCATAAGCCAGACCATTTTTAACAATTTTATTAATTAAAATTAATCTCTATCCTGAGCCAACATCTGTTTCTATAATTCTATCCATTGGACTTACCTCGTACCTAATCTCTGGAACCATACAGAACAAATGGTCTTTAGCTATTGGGTCGTTGGGAAAGTCATGATGTATTTTTCTCTGTTTTTCAATGCAAAAGTGTGTCATGACTTTCCTGACAACCAATATTTTAAGATACTCAACATTTCCTCAGAGTAAAGACTGGGCGATTTATTTGTCTGGTTTTTTTTTGGGGGGCGGGGGCAAAAATTTTAACTCATATCTCCTCAGGATGGACAGTGTCATTTTACATTTTACTATCTGTCAAAGATCTGGGCTCAAAACTTGACACTAGGATGTGCTCTAACCAGTATAAAGGAGAGCAGGATAGTCACTGCCCTTCTAGAGGCAACACCTCTATTGATACAGCCTCCAAACCCCATTCACTTTCTTAGTAACCATATCACACTGTTGATTCATCGTGTACTTTTAAGAAATTCTTTTAATCTTTCTGTCAATGAACATTGATTTCATCACAGTATCACAATATTGTGCTTGTAAGGCTGCCACTCATTGCTGCTTAAAACTTTAAAACTCAAGCTTTTACATTTATTCTTATACCTAGTTCAGCCTTGATGAACTCTAAAACTTAATTCTACTTTTCAGCTAGGTAGATACGGTAATCCACCTAGTGAAATCGAAGTGTCACAGCCCCTTGCACAGTCCTTTCCAAGTCCCCATACCGATGCACTGATAATTTTGAATTCTTTCTTACAAAGAACACTAAAATTTGTATAAGCCCCACAAAACCAGGATCTGCCCCTGCATCCAGCATATCAACTACATCCCCCAGCTTCCTATTAGCAAATTTGCTAAATTTCTCACTTCAGTCCTTTTTCAAGTTACTGATAAATTAACAGAATTGGCCTACTTGGGACTCAACCCTGCCTTTGCTCCACCAATGGGAGTCTTACCTTAGTGAGAGGAAATGTCTCTGGCAGAGTAAGCCCCTCCTGCTCCAATAGCCTCTTTTCCTCATCCGTCAGTAACAGCCTAACAATCTCCTGGGGTTACAGAAAGGTGGGCGGCAGAGTCGTAAGACGGGTGTCAGAGAGGAATGAGGAATCCTGTCTGCACCCGTGCAATGTGGGAATAATACTCCAGTAAAGAAAGTACCTGCTCTGCAGGCTCCTCTACATGCTGGGGAGTCATCTGGGCCCCCTCGTTTCCATAGTTCCCATTATCTGCAAAAGGGAAAGTGAGTAGCCAGGTTCATGAGTCCTCTCCTCCGCTCAAAATTCACTTATTTCAGACTCACCTAGATCTATGGAAACATGTTCCTGTGGGAGAGAATAGCTGTGATCATGGTGGACAAGACAGGGGTTAGAGTTGTTGAGAACGTTCAACGATGCTGGAAAACTCGGCAGGCTGCTCAGGAAATCCTCTACGTCCCAATCGCTCAGTGCCTACACAGGGTTCAAATTAACAGGCCTTGACCTATCACCGTCGCAGGCCTCATGAACGCCCCGCCCCGCCCCTCCCCGACTCAGAGCCCCCACCCACCTCGGAAAAGGGCAACTCCCAGTCCAGTGGAGCCTCAAAGGACTCATCGGACGCCGCCCCCAAATCTCCACTTTCCTCTAGCAGGAAACCCAATAGGTCCTGGTCACTCGGGTCCAACGCCAACGCCATATGGGACACCTACAGAAAGAATGGGCACAAGCGCAGGAGTGCACCCTTCCACCTGGCCCCAACCCCGAGCCCCATGCACGACCCTCACCGATTGTCAGTCGGCCCCACCTATCCGCTAGTCCCTATTCGGCCGGCTTTCCCCGTAGCTACTAGTCGTTGCTCTCAAACTACAGGGGCCACCGAGACTCGACTCTCCGCAGCTTCCAACACAACGGAAGTGACACGCCTACCCCAAAGCATTCCGGGACTTAAAGTTCTCTTTAACGCGGAAGTGGCTTAGGTACCGCGCCACGTCCCGGGAGCTATGCAAATACAGGGGCGGTCCCTGCTGCCTCCTCACACCCTGAGGGCTGGCATTCTGGGGAACCGGCTCCGCCTTTGCCCCAAGCTAGGCTAAAGAAAGGATCAGAGACTAGAAAACGCTCCGGCTTAATTCGGGCGTTTTCCCGGGGTTGCGCCGCACCCTTGCTTCCTGCCGGGGAGGGGCGGACGGACTTCAGCGCGCTCCCGAGCATCGAGAGCTGGGGCCAGAGCAGCTTCCTGCAGTCCCCGCAACCAGCGCGGGTCCAGGGCGCCGCCCGCGGGTGGGGGACGTTCCGGGGACGGAAGTGGCCGAGAGAGTGCCGAAGGGAGGGCGAGGCCGGAGCCCGAGAGCCGCCGGGAGAACGGACGGGCTAGCGGGCCAGCGGGCGGGGCACAAGCCGGGCAGCTCAGGTAGGCTGGACTGGGCCAAGCGGGAGCCTCAGGGTGGGGCCTCCGGGCCAGGCCGCGGAGGCGGGTGGGCGGGGGGCCCCTTAACTCTCCTGCGTCTCCTGTTTCGGGTCTTGCTGGAGAGGTCAGCGTCCAGTGTACCTCGGCTTGGGCTCGTAGTTAAGTAGGCCGTTTTGCGGGAGCCAGGCCCTTCCTGGGAGCAGTCTTCTGTCTGGGATAGGTTTTGGGGAGGATGAGAAGTAGGGTGGCAGGGAGGTGCAGGGCAGGGATCGGCTTTGAGGTTAGCTGATAGATGCTAGGAAAGCTCTGGGTGAGATTGGGATTAGGTGAAGTTGGATTTAGGAATCAGGTTAGTTTTAGGAGTTACAGAGCCAGGGTTAAAATTTATGGTTATTAGTGTGAGCCAGGTACGTTTTATATAAATAAAGTTTGGATTAAGGTCATTATTTTGTTTTATAGGATGGCCAGAATAAGTCAAAGTTAGAGTTCAGGGTCAACAACAGGAATTAGGTTACAAGTTCAGTTTCAGGGCTTGGAGAACCATGGCGTATTAGGACTAAACAGTGAGGGGGTGGGTCAGGAATCAAGTGACAAATGAACTGTAGGTTTAGGGGTCAA